TTTGTTAAACAAGCAGTAACATTAATTATTAATTTATTAACTTTAATTATTAATTTACTAATATCAGTTATAGATTAGAAGACCTGTCACTAATTTATAACTGATATTAGTAAATTATCAAATAAAGTCATCAATTTAATAATTGATATTTTTATTTATGATTGAACAACTAATGTTAATTTTTATATAAAAATTGATATGTCTATTTTGTAATTTATATAAATAAATTAACAAGTAAAATAAAAAAATTAATAATTAGTGATTTTGTATAATAAATGAAGAGTATTTTAATTTTTTTACAGTTAAAATTATTTTCACTTTTTTTTTTAAATTAAATTAAAATTTTAATTTTTTCAGAATTTAATGCTAATTAAGTCACATTTCTTATTCTTATTTAAAATTATCTTTTTAAAGAGTGACCTTTTGCAAGCGAGGGACATAAGTTGAACAAACGAAAACGCGTGGAACGGCCCAGCAGAGGGTAAAGACGCTGAAGTTGTACGATCACGCAAGGGAGGAAGTAGAAACCTATAATTAATTGCCTTACTCGTTTTGTCCTTTTTATAAGAGTGAGCGTCAAAAGTTCAACTTCTTATTTGCACGAGCAAGATTCTAATGACATAGGCCTCTTGGAAGTTTGTACGATCTGTTGGTTTCCGGTTTATGTTGTTTCTAGTTTTATGAATCGAGCCTGCAGACTTGTTTCTGTTTTTTACATAATTTTGTTTGTATGTGTGGGCCTTTGGGACTTTTGTTCTAAAGACGCTTTGGTTGGCGTCATTTTATTTAGTTAATAATATTTGTCGTTGACTAAAAAAAACCCAACTCCCTTTTTAATTTATTATCACTCCCTTTATCTTTTTTATAAAATATTTTAGCAGTGACTTGCTATTCTAAAATATAAAACGTTTTTTTTTTACAAAATAATTTTTATTAATAATAATTATTTTAACATTGCCCTCCATTATTTTACTTTTTAAATAAATTTATTTTCATCTATTTCTTATTAATAAATGATATTTTGAAATTTTATAGAAAAATTAAAATCATTAACTATAACCCGGCCCGCAATTATAATTATGGCATGTGATTTTTTAAAATTTATTTTTATCTGGATAATTTTGTTTTTGAAAATGGAGTTGAGTTAGAACACGTCCAAAACTGTGTGAGTTTTTGTCACCATAGCTTGAGTTTTCATATAAACTCAGTAAAAAAAAAGATTAATAAGTAAATAGAACCTTGAATTTTTGCTCGAAAATCATCCTGGACCTTGAACTCTTAAAACATACAAAATAAATCCTAAATTTTTAAATTAATAAAAAGATAAAACCATGACCGTTAATTTTTTTAACGCTGTAACTATTCACGTGGTACTATTCACCATGAGCCCCAGTTAATGCTAATATATCATTATGAATTAGCGTCACAAATCTTAAACTATTATGTCAGTAACGTTTTGGACTTGAACTTTAAAATTTTGAGCAAATTATCCCATCATTTATGTATAAAATATTAATCATTATGTAAACTAAATTAGCTTCAATATGGTTCGCCATAGTAAATACATTGTTAGCCGTGGCAAAACGACCTATAATTTTATGAAATGACATTTTTTATCTCTTTTTTGCAATATTTTTCAAACGATTGGTATATCATGTTTCTATATATTCTATAACTCTAATTTAAATTTATTTTAAATAATATTTATTTATTTAATGGTGAAATTTTGGGTTTCCATTTGTAAAAAAGTTTAAGTATTATAAGATTTTACACACGATGGATGTGGAAGCCAATGATTTCATCAACAAATTTAAAATTTAAATTAATCAGTTAATTAAAATTATCTAATATTTAAACTTATTTTCAAATGAGATACCAAGTTTTCACCATTAAATGAATAAACATTATTCAAAATAATATTAAATTAGAGTTATAAAGTATACAAAAGCATGAGATACCAATTGTTTGGAAAACACTGCAAAAAAAGGCAAAAAATATCATTTTGTAAAATTATAGGTTGTTCGTCATGACTAACGATGCATTCATTGCGCGAACCATGTTAAGGCTAATTTGGTTTACATAATAGTTAACCTTCTATATATAAACGTTGGGGATAATTTACTCAAAATTTCAAAATTTAAGGTCCATAACGCTACTAATGTAATAGTTTAGGGTTTAAAATGCGACTAATATAATAGTTTAGGGTCTGTGGTGCTAATTCGGAATGGCACGTTAGTATTAACTAGGCCTCATAGTGAACAATACCTATGTGAACAGTAACATCATTGAAAAGGTTAATGGTTAAGGTTTATTTTGCTATTAAGTTAAAAATTTAGTGTTTATTTTGCACATTTTGAAAGTTCAGGGTTCAGAATAATTTTCAAGCAAAAGTTCAGAATTCTATTTGTTCATTAACAAAAAATAAAATAAAATACTTTCCCCTCTCATTCCAAGAACATCTCATTTCTATCCACACTCCCACAATTTGTCAACTTTCAGAATTGCAAGATTAAATAATATATCTTTATTTTATTCGAGTAATTCAAAGATAATAGCATCAGCAAATATTATAATCAGATGCACTATCAGATGATAATAGGTTTAAAGTTAAATATAAAATAACTTAGGTCAGAGAGGGCGTTGATTGAAAACAGCCCAAAACAATTTACATCATTCAAGAATTGAAAGTGATAGAATAGAGTAAAAGTTTGAGAGAGAGAGAGAGAGAGAGAGTAAAAATGATAAAATGTAATAATAAAGTATTAAATCTCCATGATATCATAAAAAAAAAGCACTAAACCACCAATTATGAAAAAAAATAATACTAAACCACCATTTTTTAAAAAGAGAAATGAACCCCATAGTCTACACTTGGGGAAAAAAAACTCATGTTCAAGTCTGTCACTCCATTGGTTATGTATATCATTCAAAAAGCACATGCTCTATATTCAATAAGACCAACGGGGCTTTTGAAGACATCTCATTTTAGATGGTAGTTTCCTTTCTCGCATGATTTATGACAAGGATATATAATTTCCAGACGTCAAGAACTACGAAAGCAAAAATTGCTACAAATATTTGCAAAATAAGAATAATTTAAAAAGAGAGAGATTTTTGCCAAGCAACTTGAAAATCACAAACCTCATACTTAGAGATTGGGATGTTGACAAATGACAACATCCCAAACTCTATTACATTGTAAGCATGGAAGTGGAAGCATTCAATATGCAAGTTGTAAAAATCTCCCTCATAGCATCAATTACTTGATCAAAATCAACTTAGTAAACGTTGGTTAACCCAAACAGTCAAACTTGAGCTTTTAAAACATAACATTAACAATTATAAGATCCTGAGTTTTAGTCTTAAAACACTCTAAATCTAGTTATAGATAAGTTAAAATCAAAGTAAAATGTCTAGGGAAGTATGGAATACTCATTTGTATTTAAAACCATTGAAAACAAGGTTTAAAACATCATCAAGGCAAAACTAGAGGGATCCGGTGTGGCTAAGCATGCTGTGCTATGGCATGCCATCTCTATCCCATATGCAATGACACATTGCATAAAACTAGACAGTAGAATGCTGTCAAATAGCAGTTTGAGGGTTGAACTTTTAGCGCATCCCAAATGTTCATCCAATATTTGATCAAGGTGATGCATGTGTCCCCATAAAACTCTTTTCATACATTATAAGCTTGACATTGGTTTTACTCTTAAATTATCTCATACAAAGAAATTGAACATTCAAATATATTTAAAAATATTTTTCACACATATTCACAACCAAGGTATCTCAAAACATAATTCAAGTACCAAAAGCTTAAACCAACAGCGATATCATATTCAACAGACTTGGGACAATGTTATGTTAAAATATATCATGTTTTATATAATTATTTTGTAAAAATAACTATAATACCCTTATGTTAAAATATTATGTTTCATATAATTATTTTTGTTAAAATAAATCAAAAGCAGAAGGTATATTAAAATTAACATCATCAATTAGTTGATAAAAATGTATTTTCATATTATTATATTTTAAATTCAAATAATTTACATTAAAAAAAACAAAAGTGGGCACGTTTTTAAAAAATGAATATAACAATGTAAACATATATATATATATATATATATATATTATCATAGTACTTATGTAGTTATACAAACAAATTCTTACATATTATCGAAATTAATAAAAGCACAATATCACTAATATTGTTAAAATTAAACATGGTATTTACAGAAACAAAATCTCCAATGCATTAATCACGGAAAATATTATATATACCAAGGTCAACCTGTCAATGCATCATGACAAAATATCTATTTCTCCAAACAAAAAGGCCACCATGCCACCGTATTAGAAATATGATATTATATACTTTCTCTATTTAAAAATATAAAATATGTTTAATTAAATTTCATCCTCAATAAAGTAGTTAATTATTTTTCAATTAATCCTATTTTTTTATATTTATTTTTATTAAATACCCTAAAATAAATATAAAATTATTATCAATGGGCGGTTGCCATAGGCAAGTTAAATTATTAAAATCTCTTCACACACTACTCCTCTACTCTTTTTCATATGACACTTTTAACATATTTTATTAAAATTAAAAAAATTTAAAATGTATTAACTTTATTTATTTTTTTAATTTTTTTATTAAATATAAATATTTTAACAATATTTTTTTAACATTTAATAAAAGTTAAATAAAAAATTTGGGATAAAAATTTAATAAAATAACTTATCAATAAAATAAAAAAATATATTCTCTCTCTACTTTTTTAAATGTTTGTAAATTTACCATCTATACCAATAAGTAATGTCAGACTTGTATTTAATTCTCTTTTGACCAAATGGAGGGGCATTGTCATCCATTTTTGTTTGCAGTGAATTGCAAACATTGAACAGTGCGTTGATGATGCGCGCGGTGCCTTGTCTGGATGTATAACGGGGAGATAGGGTGGTGGTACGTGTCACTCATATATATAAATGTAAAATCACAAGGCGTCGGATTCGGATCTTTTTAACCCTAAATCAATGTCAGCAATGAAGAATAAGAGACAGGCCTTCTCTACTGGGCATGATTGCATCGCTTCACTGCTGCGAAGATCATGATCATGAGCGTCGCAACTGTATAGGAGCATTACGTTCCCAAGTCCAGTGCATGCAATTATGGAAGTAGCTAGCTAGCATAACATCGCCACAAAAGCAGCACTCTCTATATTTGTAAAAGCACAGGGATGGACATCCTACGCCATTGAAAATACACAAACGAATAAAACTGGTTGTTCGTCATAAACATAATAAACCCTCCAGATTCCGAATCCCAGGTACAGAGCTGATATACAATATAGGTCCTCTACCATTAAGGCGAACCGCAACATGTGGAGAGGTATCACATCTGGGTCGTGGCATTGGGAGCGTTCGGTTTTCTTGTCCTATCTTCCTTAGCCCACGACGTCCTCGTTGTCACCCAAGAAATCATCGATCAGGAAGTCGGCCGGCACAGAGGAGCTCTTGTTCAGTTTTACGCCCCTTGATACATCCAACATTTTTGCTTCATTATGATGTAAAATCTCTGGGGTGATCTTTCCTGTGTTTCAACGGTTCGAATTATTTTTCCTTTTTCGTTTCACCGCTTTTTCAGATTTGTGATATGATGCCATAATCCCCTAATTTCATTTCGGTCGGGTTTCAGATATTCTTTGTATTCTTTAGTTTTTTTTCCCCGGGAAGTGTCACGACGAATTAAGTGATGAAATTAAAGTTCTATCAGTTGTTACTCAGTCAAGTAAAATTCATACTCAAACGCTCTTTTCTTTTCTTTTCTTTCTTCTTTGTTTATTGGTGATAGGTGTGATCTCTGTAAAAAGTTTGCCCTTTGGAGTATGAAAAGTTAGGTACCAGCTTCAAGAAAGCCAGGTCTGTTCTAATCGGAAAGGTTATATAGCACTCTGGTGTTGTTCTGCCCTTCACGCCTTTTGAATGCTGCATGCATCGCCCATGTTCATCTTTGTGATTGTTGGCATATTTTAGCTGTAATTTTCCGCTAAATAAATATTTAAACCTAAAATAAATTATCTGCAACAAACTTGAGAATATCTTCAGAAGGAATTGCTTTCTTACAAAATAATTTACAGTTAATAACATTTGACAATTATGTTGCTTCATGGGGATATCCTTAACCACTGGATAAATTTTAGCACTTTTGTTTTCTTTCTTTCTTTTTCCTTTTCTTTTAAATATTGAGAATCCATTGGGGTTACTTGTGCTGCGGGTGGAATGTGATCAACACTAGAGTTTGTGCCAAAAATATGGCGTTTCTAGATGCCCAACAATTCAATGGTTTCCCCTAGAATCTGTGGAACCCAAAAGGTGAGTAGAAAGTTCAGCCAATCAAAGGATAATTTGATTAAGTTTTATATCTGATTGCCTAGTTTCTTACTTAATTTGCTTTCCACTTTTCCTCCCACCCCTTTTCACTTTGTGACCCATTTTGGAAAATTTTTGAAGGTATGAAGGGCCATGGACCGCAGAATCTCTTGCTGAGTTTGTAAATAAAGAGGGAGGTACTGGCTGACACTTTTGAAGCCGTGTGGCGTGCCTTAATGTCTAATTATATCAGAAATTTGTGTAATTTCCAAGGAAATATAGTTCAGTAATTACACAGAATCATATTCTCAAGGAGCCAACTTGCAACTGTAAATCTTTAAATTTTAATTGACAGTGAAAGTTCACAACGCCACATAAGTAGATTCCGTGAATTTTAAACATTGAAAAGTGAAAACTGCACAATATTGTTTGGTCTTAGCTAGCACTCACCTTACCTGGTGAGTGGGGTGGAGATACCTGACCAGAGGATTGGCATAAAAGCAGGAACCAAGGTGAAGATTACTACAGACTCCGTCCAAGGTAGTGGTACTGACTCCCAACAACTTTGATGAGGTCGTCTTGGATGAGAACAAAGACGTCTTGGTTAAGTTTTATGCACCACGTACTCACAATTTCTTTTTGGTTTCTTATGGTTATTATTTCTCCTTATCTTTAATTCACACAGTTTTTGGGTTGGTCCCAATTTCAAAAGGCAAAGGCTATGTCTTGTTTTCAATTTCCTTCCTATGTTATCATGCGATTTTGAGTCATCTCCATCAATCAGTTTCAGATCTTACAAGTTTTTCTGATTTTTCCAGGTGCAGACATTGCAGAGAACTTGCTTCTGTAAGCAAGCATCTGTACTAGCTGTTCTATTTTTATCAATTGTAGGGAGGCTTTAATATCTGCGGTATTAGGAAACGTGAAATTTGGCTCTGCTTTTCTCCTAAGACTTATGAGACGGTGGCTGCGGCATTTAAAATGGAGGAAGGGCGGTGATCGCAAATCTGGATGCTGACAAGTATAAGGATCTTGGGTCGAAGTAAGATGATCAATTGCTAATCCAGATTATATTAGCTAGGGAACAGTTCAGTGTTCCGGTAAAGGCAAGTCAAAAGGATGTTACTGATTATATACTAGTATAATGCAGGTATGATGTTAAAAGCATTTCCAGCATTGAAGTTCTTTCCAAAGAGCAAGAAAGCCGGTGAAGTTTATGGGGGAGGTAGAGACTTGGATGAAATCGTAGCTTTCATCAATGATAAATGTGGCACAAGTAGAGACCGAGATGGACAGCTCACGTCAAAAGTCAGTGATTCTGAATTCTGAGAGACATTCAAAACGCTATATATGAATGAAAAAGAAAACTGTCGCATTTCATATGATTAACGTTTCCTTATAGGTTGGTATAGTTGAAAGCTTGGATGCCTTGGAAATGGAGTTTGTAGGTGCAAATTAAGAAGAGAAGAAGGCCATAGTTGCCCGAAGGGAAGAGGAAGTAGGGAAGCTTAAGGGGCCTGCTCTAGGTTGTACGTGCCTATGTATATATATATATATTATTACATTTACACGTTTGCCTCTCACTCAACATCTGTAAGTTTTAACATATTAGGTACGGGAAGATTTACTTGAAAGCTGCCAGGAATTGCATGGAGAAAGAGTCTGATTACGCCAAGGACGAAATCCAGCGCCTGCATCGCATGCTTGGCAAGGTAGTAATACTGTTGTTGTCTATAGGTTTGATCATTAAATTTATCCAGAGATTATTAAAATAACATGTATTTAAGAATTAAACTAGTAACATTGAAAAATCCATGTAGTAACAGTATTTTTTGTTTTCAAAAGGCAAGGTCGGGTGAGTGATAATTTGGGCGGTTAAGTGGGAAGAGCTGTACTGGGGAAAGTCTTTTTCCATTGCGTGAATGAAAAGGCGGTTAAGTGGGAAGAGCTGTAGTGGGGAAAGTCTTTTTCCATTGCGTGAATGAAAAGACAGATATTGTTGATTATTCATTCTGAGGTGGGTTTTGATTGGTGCGGCCTGTGAGGCCAGCGAAGGCAGACGAGTTTGCTATAAAGAAAAATATATTGCGGACATTGGAGTGACAGCAGAGTGGGATCCACCGACAGAATTGAATTTTTTTGGAAGATTTTGAGGTGTTGAACGTACACATTGCCACGCCAGCAAGTCGCTTTCTCTGACGTTGATAATTTATCAACACCTTGTGCTGTTGTGCATCGATCTGCACAGTACTGCTACATGTTAAATGCCCGTTTTGAAGAATACGCTCGGCTTCAGGGAAGCGGAACATCTGGGTATGGTTTGCAGTCTGATGAATTTGTTTTGGGAAGGGTACATCACGACCCTTCACCACATGCCAATGAACGAGTGCAGAGCACCACTTGCTTGCCTCCTCGTTTTGTCTATTCTTCAACTTGTCTCCCTGCTTTAAATTAGTTGTGACAGGATTCTGGGTCAACGAAAAATAAACCATACTGTTTTTTCGCTTTCAAAATGGAATCATCTAGTCATTGAAGTTGATGGTTGATGTTGGCCATCACCTGTCATCGTGTAATGTGTACTCTTTTTATAAATTATTTTTATCAATCTTATTAATATTAATATAAAAAAATAAAAAATATAAAAATATAAAATTTTAAATATATTTTTATATAATAAATTTAAAAAATAATAGTATGTTATGTCCCTTTTACTAATATATTGCAGGTATTTAAAGAAATTTCTTAAATGCTATGATGTGAAAAGTATTTAGTAAAATGTGATATCAAAAATTGTTCAACTTGGGAATAAATTTGAGGTTGGAACAAATTATTTAAGTCAGAAAAATATTTATCAAAAATTATATTTTTATTCAATTAAAAATAAAATTGTTTATTTTTTTATTGATGTGACATTTATGAGTCATTGTCTTTAATGCATTTAAATTTACAATAATTCAATCAAATAAATTTTATGAGTCATTATTTTTAATGGATTTAAATTTACAATACAATGTCTATTTAGTTTTTTTTATTTTTTATTATTATTAATATTAGAATTAATTTATTTTTAATGACACTTGAATATTATGTTTTTATTGGATGGAACATGGATGACATAATGCACGAGCTAATAATTTATCTAATTTCATATATTCCTAATTTTATAGGGTGATTGTTAAATACAATTAGAGGTATTATCAAATATTATTTTACAAAATTAAATTTATAGGATGCGTTTGCAATTTTTTAATTTTTATTACTAAATATGATTTTATTATCATATAAAACTTATAAACCAAGAAGGTGGGAGACTGTCTTCTCTTCAACTTAGCAACAATGTTATTATTAGTTTTCGAAAATATAATTTAAAAAAATTAATAAATATGTTATAACTTAAAAAAAAACACTATGAGATGTACTATCTATATAATGTATATAACATTTTAAAATTTATAGTTATATTACATATATACGTATTCTTGCACAATTCTTCGCTAGTTTTCATTCTCAGTGCTATAATGAATAAATATACATAAATCATAGCTTAAAAAATTACCTTAAGCTTGAAAAAGTAGAAAAATATTTTAGCGAGTTCAAGCCCGTTCTCGAACCACCGTTTTTGTGCCGCTCCGACCGATTCCCGGTTTTGCCTCCAATATCAAATTAGACACCAAGCAGATTTCCTGTTCACCAGTTGAATGGGATGATCCAACCCAGTTTTTTAATCATTGCTCGAGAGTTAAAACATGCCATAGAATAGAAAACTGACATTTAAAATAAAAAAATGTAATCAAAGAACGAAAGAAAAAGGTGAAGGGAATCAAGGGATAATTAACTTTAAATGATGGTAAAATTTATTTTACGTTCTGTTTTATTAGAAGACCCGATGGAGAGCTGCGAGTTCTAAATAAACTACACGTGTGAGATAATACAATTTTTTTTTGGTTATAAAATTTATACTAATAATATATATTGGTGCTTTATATCCTGTTTCTTTGTCTCCCTCGCTTTTATATTTTCTATGGAGGGGAACAGTGAGCAAGGGGACCACGAATGGTCACCAATGATGATTCTGATGAAAGAGTGAAATAAAAGTCGAGGCGGAGGGCATATTACGGGGCCAAAGGAATAAAATGTGTCCATTTTCCGGAGAAGAAGCACAAGAGAAAAAGTAGAGCGAATCGCTCGTAAGAGCCCGAAAAGGTATTTTTAGGAGTTTATGCTGCTGATTCACCTCACGGTCCTGGCTAATCATTTATGAAGCCCAAATTTATTGAATCATAATTATGCCACATTTTCTCAAAATCTTATTTAATCTAAAATGTGAAACATTAAATAAGTTTCATATATTAGTGTTTTTTTTTTCAATTATGACATTATTTTGTTATACTTTATTCAAGTAATTAATGGAATTGTTTTAAGTAAATAAATATTATATTTATTTCATATTATTAAAAAACATGAAAACTTTAAAAAATTGAAATTAATTATTTTTTTAAAATACAAACTAATTAACAATTATTTATATTGTGATTTCCACAGTCAAGTGTAGACTAACAATTTTGTAACTGAATATCAAGGGCGTTAAAGATGTGCTAGGATAAAATGAAAATGAAAATGAAAATGAAAAACATTATTAAAGTAAGACTTGTTATGAATTGAATAATTAGCGTGCAGGACGGAACAAAGGCTAAAAATGACATGTTGCGGTATGATTGGGCAGAAAGAGGTGCGAAATGGACAGTTTCAAGCAGGGAGGTCTGAAAACGGAGGGGATGCAGGACTTAGGAAGGCCCATTTTTTAACCAGGTTTTTTCTTTTTAGGTTTTATTTGTAATTTTAATTAGATAGATTATATTAGAAAGGGACCTCCGGCTTCGGCTTCAGCTTCGGCAACCCAGGAGAGTGCTGCTGTCTTCTCAGCTTTCTCGTTATCAACTTCCACCTTCCCGCTCTGATATAAACACAAACATTTTGGTCCCAATTCTGTACAGCAATACACACATAACACTATACCTCTGATAATGAAGTACGTGTTGATCACCGGTGGAGTCGTGAGTGGTCTGGGCAAAGGCGTGACGGCGAGCAGCGTAGGGGTCGTGCTCAAGGCCTGTGGTCTTCGTGTCACTTCCATCAAAATTGGTTTTTTGTCTTCTTCCTCTTCTCATTTTCAATTGTTCTTCCATTTCTTGTCATACAGTTCTTTCGCTCTGAATCATTGCCTTCAATGGTATTCTGATTACTTTGAATCCCTTCTTGTTCTTTTTAACCGTTATTAAACGTTAGTGTTTTTATAACCTCTGGTCAACATGATTCGTGGGATGTCTTCTTTCTTGAACAATCTTAGTCTCCTATTCAGGACGTCCTGTATGTTGTTTATGCTTTAGAGTACTTCACTTTTATTCGATTGGTTTCCTGTCAAAGCCGTTCTGTGTACGCTTTTTGTTTCTGTCTGCTCGTCTTTTTATAATTCTCATTTTTTTCCCCATAGGGATATATGGGCAAATCAAATAATTTGCAACTTCCTTATGCATCTGTCCTCTATACTTTTTTTTCAGATCCATACCTGAATATAGATGCTGGTACCATGTCTCCTTTTGAACATGGAGAAGTTTTTGTTCTTGACGATGGTGGAGAGGTTTCATTCCTTCCATAATATATCTGTCCGTGCCTGAATGTACTAAGGTCATATAATATTGACGAATTATTTTGTTGCCTTTGTTGCTTGGCTTGGAAGGTGGATCTGGATTTGGGAAATTATGAGCGCTTCCTAGATGTCACACTTACAAAGAATAACAATATTACCACTGGAAAAATATACCAGGTGCTTTTACATCTTCCGTGAATGAATGCTGTGCTGAAAAATGAAATTACTGCACACTTTCATAACTTGACTATCATCTGTGGTTTCTGCTCAGTCTGTTCTCGAGAAGGAACGTAAGGGTGATTACCTTGGAAAAACTGTTCAGGTGATGTACATGTTATAATTGCTATTATGTGTTGCTTGCATACTCATATTGTACCGGCGAAGAGTAGTTTACTGAGTTTTTGGGATGTTAATACAGGTGGTACCACACATCACAGATGCCATAAAAGATTGGATTGAATCAGTTGCTGTGATTCCTGTGGATGGGAAGGAGGGACCAGCAGATGTTTGTGTGATTGAGCTTGGAGGCACTGTGGGTAAGAATTTTTGTGAAGTAGAGATGCTTCTTTTTCATTCATGTTATCTTGGTAAATTCAGCACATGGGAGTATTTTTTTTTCTTTTGCTTTTACAGGTGACATTGAATCTATGCCATTTATTGAGGCTTTACGGCAATTGTCCTTTTCTGTGGGTAAGTTCATTGTATAATTTTCTATTAAATTAGTGTTACTTGTGCAGTAACTTGCTGTGTGCATACTATTTTGAGCATGGATTTATTTGTCAAAATTAAATATAACTAGATTCTTCGGTTCTTCTTTCTATAGCATGATTGGGAGAGTGTCTTTGATATTCTTTGAAATTCTGTTGGTTATCAGGATATATTCAAATAAGACAGATTTTCGACGATACAGGAAAATCTAATATAACGAACTAGGTCTGAGTTTTATGGTTGAATATGATAACCTTAGTGCTACTATTTTGTGATGTCAGCCTTCTGCGTTGTTCAATGATGTCTTCATTTGATTTGCTCCTTGTTTATGAAAATTTGTCATTTTTATCTGAGGACTAGACTTAGGTAAAGTATTTTTTTTTTGTTTTCTTTTTCCCCATAAAAACAGAACACATTGAATAACTTTTCTGAAAGACTCAATGATATAATGCTGAGATGTAAAAATCTCCATCTGTCCCTTTTTATTATTATTTGAGAACCTACTAACAAATATATAATGAGCATAACTGTGTTTTCTTTATTTTCTATTTGGCTATGAAATTTTTTTCTTGTGGCATAATAATTTCTTTTTTTTTTAATTTCTGCTTTCATTATTCCTTCTCAGGCTCTGACAACTTCTGTCTCATCCATGTTAGCCTAATACCGGTGTTGGGTGTTGTGGGAGAGCAAGTAATGTTCAACTGCCTGTGCATTATAGTTGCCCACTATTAGTATCAATTAATCATTTTCCCTCTTGTTTGGCCACTACATTTTGGTTCCAGAAAACAAAGCCTACACAGCACAGTGTCAGGGAATTGAGAGCATTGGGTTTGACTCCTCACCTTTTAGCATGTCGATCTGCTGAGGTATGCTATTACACTATTTAGTACCTAAATGAACTTAAATGATATTACTGGGTAACATTCTTTTGTTCCCTTTATGCAGTTTAGACATGGACATGCTGCACAAGTGTTAATATTATGTTGGCTTTCTAGATAGCATTCATTTATATTTAGTTGATGAAAACTATAACTGCCATTTCAGATGAAGATTTTAAACATTTAGTGCTATTGTTTTATTTGTTATATCGGTGCGTGCATGTACAGACCTTTTTACCTGCTCTTTGAAATTGGTGCATATATGTAGCTTGGAAAAGGATTAGAAGATGACTTAATCTTGTTTGTTAAAAATTCTCATTGCCTCTTCAATTCTTTATTAGACTGAAATGATATATTTTATTTCCTTATTCTCATTTTTCTTGTCAGAAGAACTGGTGTGGAGTCTTTTGTACTTTTGAAATGCATCCTTCAGTTTGGCCATTATGTCTATATTAAGTAAAATATTTTCATGCTGAACGTGACAGCCTCTTTTGGAAAATACGAAGGACAAACTCTCACAGTTTTGCCATGTTCCGGTAAGTTGTTGGTGAAATTAGCTTGGTGCTTGGTGTTCTGCCGTTTGCCAACTAGGGTTCATTTTCTTAGCTATTGAACTTAGTTTTTGCCAAAAATAAAGTTATTGACCAGAGTTTTTTATGGTCTCCACAGATTGATAATATTCTGAATATTCATGATGTTCCAAACATTTGGCACATTCCTCTCTTACTTAGGGTGGGCTTTCTAGGAACTTTTTTTTTCTTTTGGATTATAGTGACTCATGGCTGCATTATTTATATACTGTCTGATTATCTCCTTTATGATTGGCTGATATTTTCAGAACCAAAATGCACACCATTCAATTTTGAGGCAGCTTGACCTACTCAGGTGAGTCTTGCTTTACCCTTTACGTCTGTGAAAGCCAAAACAATATATCCTTGTCTGATATCTTATCGGTTAACCAGGGTGAGATATATCCATATTTGTGATTATGGTTGATTATACTATGGCATCTTATGCGAGATTTATGCGTAATAACTACATTGACACAACACAAAGCCAAGGCTTTCTTTTTCTTTGGGATATTAATTTGATGGCAGGTGGTGTTAATTTATTTCATTCTAATGTTTTGTTTCAGCATTGCTATGCCTCCTGACTTACGGAGTTGGACAAAGATGGCTGAGACTTATGATAATCTTACCGATACTGTTAGTACCATGATGATGAATTTGCAATGCTCTTTCTGAATGCATGTTATATCATATTGTGCATGTGAATAAGAGCATTATGACATTTTACAGGTGAGAATTGCAATGGTGGGGAAGTATGTTGGCCTAAAAGATTCATATTTATCTGTTATGAAGGTGTGTTATGGCTTTTATTTTGTTTTTAAAATGAGCAAGAAAATGTAAATAATTCTAGTTTTAGATCTTAGCTTGTTTATTTAGGTACCAAACTAATTTTCAATAGAAAAACTTATTGACTACTTGATGGTTTGGTTATAGTATTTGATATTTTGATCAGTGAATTCTGAAATTTTGCCTTAGAGTAAAGTGCATTTTGGGCGTTTGATCAATACCAATTATCATTTTATGCTTTATCAAGAAATCAACCCATCCAATCAAAGAAAAACGTAGATTGGATGGGAATGAATGTAGAAATACTAAGTTATTTCCCAGCGAATTGGGAATTTTTTTTCTTCTCTAATTTTTTTATATTTTGTAATGCATATATGAGTAACCGATGGATCATACCAATCAAATTCCTTTTTTCCATTTTAATGTAAATAAAAATGTTAGTGAAAAGAAAAAAATCACAGTATACTTACATATATACTTCTACTCCTGATTGTTTCTATAAAGTGATGTGTAGCTGATGTCATTTTGTCCTGACCATGTTAGTAAAATTATTATTTCCTGTAGGAATATAAAAGCTTTGTTTAATATCATCTAAATTTTAAACAACAGTGTTGGGGGGGTTTAATCTTCTTGGATTTGAGCTTCATGATTTATGGGAAACGAGTTTTGACTTTTGCCATCCACTTGTTATGATTCAACAGAATGGACCATCAAGTTTCTTGTTCGCTTGTGTAATTTTAGTGTGTAAATAGTCTTTGTTATGCTTGATCTGCTTACAGGCTCTTCTGCATGCTTGCATTGCATGCTCCTTGAAGCCATCAATTGATTGGATTGCAGCTTCTCACCTTGAAGATGATAGTGCAGAATCAGTAGTGATTTCTTACAAACTGCATCTGAAGATATTCTGTTAATTGTCAATCTGCATGTAGCCAGCTTTATTTACTTTTGATTTCGCTCATTTAGGATCCAGAAGCATATGCTGAGGCTTGGAAGACTCTGAGGGTAAGCTTTACATTAGAATATTATTATCTTAGTGACATATTTCACGATCACTTTAAAGATTCTCTTAGTTCTTTTTATGCAGCCTGCCTATAGTTTTTTAATAAAAATTGAATAGCAGATCTGATTGTTAATGATTGAATACTAGACCTTTTTCTGTGAACATAGTATCTGGAATGTATCATGGGCAAATGCCAAGGCGTGAGGTTCTTTGCTCTTTAGTGTGTTTGAATTACTATATTGGTATGAATTATGACTTTGTTAGAACTGTTGGGCTGCCTTTGAAATTGAAATTAAACAATTAGGGAAGAGGTCTTTGGTATTTGAGTCGTAAGTCACGGCTGTTGATGGAAATTGATACTTGCAGGGGGCAGCTTGTGTCTTGGTTCCTGGTGGATTTGGAGATCGTGGTGTGAGTGGTATGATGCTAGCTGCCAAATATGCCAGAGAGAACAATGTTCCATATTTGGGGATTTGCTTGGGAATGCAGATTGCTGTGATTGAGTTTGCAAGATCAGTGAGTAATATTCCTGTATATGTTGTGTTTGGTTCTGTTTTACCTTATGTTTTTATGTTGTAATTTGATGGTGGTTCTTAGGTTTTGGGTTGGGAAAGGGCAAACAGCGTAGAGTTTGATGCCCAAACGCCAAATCCTGTTGTGATTTTCATGCCTGAGGTACACATTTGTCCCCCCTTTGCTCACTTATGCCAATTACAAAAATACTCCTAGTCAATGGATGTCGTTATAATACATTTTCACATGCAGGGTTCACGAACCCACATGGGAAGCACCATGAGGCTAGGATCTCGTAGAACACTATTCCAGACGCCTGATTCTATTACTTCCAAGTTGTAAGTGATGTTTCCGGCACCCCCTGCTGTTTTTATGATATAGTTGGCCTATTTCATGGATTAAAGAAAGGGCAAAAAACATACTTATTAGCTGAATTTGCTGCAGTATATGTGCTTTCTTTTACCCATATTGTAAGAGTAAGCCTTTTTTATACTTGCTACCATTATTATGTGTTCCTAAATATCAGGTATCACAACTCACAGTATGTGGATGAGCGGCATCGGCATAGATATGAGGTTGGCTTTTGTTTTAAAAGAACATAACGCATTTAGTTTGTGAATATTACTTCAGCGACGTCATAATGCCAGGTAAATCCAGATGTTATTGGAACGCTGGAGGAAGCTGGGCTAAAATTTGCTGGAAGAGATGAAAGTGGAAAACGAATGGAAGTAAGTTTTATAGTCCAGTGTTGTTTGGATGAGAAGCAACAGTAATTAATTATACTGTATTTGTTATTCCCGCTTTTCCTTTTTTTTTTTTTGACTGAAGCTGAAATTCATTCAATAGCTGAAAAAGTTGTTGTTTTCCTATTGTTTTGTTACATGGAATTTTTGTGTGTTTGGGTGGCCAAAACGGGAAACGCAGAAGCAGCCCTGCATTTCACTTCATATAGAAAGTGATTTCCTCAAATACACACTGGGTTATTACTATAACTGGATTGAGTGTGCTGCACTCTACAACTTGATTTCCACCCTTGTTTTTCTGCACATCAGGGTTTTTTCCCCCTTGAAAAAAAAAAAAATACCCCCTGGATTTTGGTGATATTAAATGATGATGAAATCCTTTCTCTTGAGCAGGTCCTAGAGCTTCCAAGTCATCCATTCTACATAGGCGTGCAATTTCATCCTGAATTTAAATCACGGCCTGCTAAACCCTCTGCTTTATTTTTAGGTAAATGCTGGTCATTATTAATCTTTAGAGCAGCCGATTCTTGTGCATCCTGTGGGTTAGTAATTGCTAACTTACAATAATGAACTCAAGAGATTGTCATGTGAATACCAAATTGCCAACTGATTATATCATTATGGAGTCCCCAATTTACGTATGGCTAATTCTTAATCTAATGTTGTACCTGTAGGTCTGATTTTGGCGGCAACGGGGAAGCTGGAAGCCCACGTCAGTGGTTATGAAAATGGAAGTTAACGCACAATCTTATGCTATTTTGACAATGCCATAGTATTTTTTTTTTTTTAGGATGACGTTTTTTCCCGAAACAAAAAAGAAAGATGGGGGTGAAGCGATTCCCCGCAGTTGGGTATAAATGCAGCTGCCTCAGATTCGTTTTGATTGGTTCCAAAAGCCTGTCCACTATATCGTTATTTGGACGTCTCTTTCACTTCATAGCTGTTACTAAGGTTCAGTATTTTAATCAACCGATCCGGCATTAAAATCTTTTGACTCTGATGTAACGCAAAACATAGAGCTGTGCTATAGTATGTTTGGTGCACTATCAGGATGTTGATTACAGGCATTAAGCTCACCGTTATCCCCAAAATCCTGCCTTGTTTTATTTACAAGATTTGCCCCTATTCAGTGTTCACCTTGAGTTCCATATTATCTGATCTGCTTTCCTTGGTTGCCGCGTTATCGGTATGTATGCAGGTGGACGCAATATTGACCTCACACTTTCCATCTGTTTGGATCATGCTTAATTTTGTTCAACATTATGAAGATTTAGATCGTCGATCACTTGTTCAATCTTGAAAATTTGGAGAATTTTGTATTTATATATTTAATTATCATTTTCAGTTGTGTCTCATTTAATCTAGAAAATAGTAATGATTCGCTCTTTCGTCTCCCACTATTATTTCTTTATTGCTTTTACCTCTCATAGTATACTAGGCAAAATAATCCCATGTTACGTTCAGTTGCTTTTCTTTTTCGGTTTTTTGGCAAAGGTTTATCGGAGAGAAGAATGTGTATCTAGTATCATGATATTTCGTACTGAATCTACTATAAAAGGATTGTAAAGCATTTTTCATTTTTGGCATCTCTTGAAAGAAAAAGCACTCGCTGATACCAAAAGAAAATGCAGTAATAACAAGACCGTAACGATTCTAACAGCACGTTCTTTTGTAAAAGAATTCAAAATTGGAGGGTTGATATTTATTTGACTGTGATATGGAATATAAACGTTGCAAAAAATAAAAAAAGAATGTAAATACTCAAAAGCTCTGGGTATCTACAAGACTCCCGCAAAATGGGTAGACTTAAATTTCCGAGAAAACAGAAGAATTGCGCAAAGAAAGAAGCAACGTCGTCAACAGCTGAGTCTGGTGGGTGTTTCACTGTACTGTAGATAAGAAATCTGTCTTTGGAGCTTCATCTGCTGGTAGAATTTAGCAATGAACTCCTCGGCTCTCGCATCTATCCCTTGGTCGTCGGCGTCGGCGTTGTCTTCACATCCTTGGTAACAGAACTGATCATTGCCGTCTTCGCCGTTAGCATAAAGGAGATCATCGTCTCCGTCATATTCAAAATCAACATGCGGATTAATGCAAGGGATGTGAGGCAAGTGGAAGCGCATGGAGGAGGGACGATTGAACATGGGGGTCTTATCGAAGGAGAGCTCGCGCTCGCAGTAATAAATATGGCTGGGCGGTGTGGTGTGGGTGAGACGTCTCAAGTACTTGGGAAGAAGACGCATCTCCGTCACAAGCCTGCGCTTGAAGACTCCACCTTTGCGAGCCCAAAGCAATGCCAGCCGCAATACCTTCCACGCTCTATGAGCAACGTTACGGTTCTCAATGCCCATTATTGAACAACGCGGCTCGAGAGGAAAGTGTAGAAATTAAAATCTGAAAAAGCTTGTGTCTGACTGTGAGTAGAGGCGTTGATGAATGACGATGGTGGTGGTGGTGGAAGTGGCAGAGAGACGTGGTAGTTTATAAGGGAGTGGGAATTTTGGACGCGTCGTGAATGAAGGGGACAAGAGCAACATGGTAAATTCCAGTATAGAAATGTGAGAGCTATGGCCTATGGGCGGTGCCAGCTAGTTTAGTCAATGATTTAACGATGAAGTGTTGTAGCTGTACGCGGGTATCAAGCTGGACTTGTTTTGTCGACTTCCTATTTTGCCCCTGGTTTCCTCTTGCTGATTTTATCAACTGGCGGTCAGTACATGGTTAACAACCAGTATCCCAAACATGATCCATTTTGGTATTTATCTAAGTCCGAGAAATCCACATTTCCTAGTCTTGGTTTTATGTAGGAGTTGAGCAAATTTTTTGCTCAATTCACAATATTTGTGAAACATTACTCAGTTTGAAAGGGAGGATCATTTTGGTCATATACGACAACACCACTTGAAGGAAGGCTGCCTTTTGGTTGGATGTTGTTGGAATGTGGTTACAAGTTGTCAAGCATAGGACAGGGAAAAGATGATGGACTTTGTGCAAGCAAACGTTTGCTTAATTGTGTTAAACTAATCATTACAGAAAGTAGGAGAGGAACGGAAGGGCGTCCGAAGCTTCCAATTAAAAGCCCAATTTCGTTGAAAGGAGCTTGCCCTCGTGTCGCATTCTCATTGGTTTACCTCTCAAACCGTGTCGTTGCCGCTTGAGAGCTGTGCCCAGTGACGCGTGTGATTGATTTTGTTTGTTTTTGTGCGCGCGTGTGTGTGTGTGTGCGTGTTTTTTTTTTTTTTAAGTCTTCAGAAAGCGATCAGGGCGTAATTTGAAAGGTGCATGTGAACAGGTTTTCGTTGATTCGCGTTCACATTCGTCTTGTGGAGCAGAACATGGGAGTAATTAAAAACAGATACGAGTGTAACTGGGGGGAAATCTCATTTAGGATCCCTTGATCACATTCAAAAAAAAAAAAAAAGCGTTCCTTAAACTTTAAAAATTCATTTCAAGCTAGAGGCATTCGAGTGGAATTAAAAAGTAGGGTAAAATTACTTCCATCCTCAGTCCTCACTCTGAAGTCTGAAGCAAGCGCAGGCATGAATGGGGGAAAAATTTAGTCACGCCAGGGGTCCAGTACCAAACCTCACAACAACGTCAGAAAATGCGTTCCATAGCACACGCCTCATCTCCACTCAAAATATTGTTGTTATATATTTGGAATTCCATGACATAGTGAATTTGGCGTGGCATGATATGGTTTGCTTCCCTTCTCTTTTAAGAATGACATGCATAGTCACCGCCCACACTTGCAAATAAGAAATTTAACGTTAGATCTCTGTTTTTTTGTGACTCCAACCTATTTTTACATGATGACTCTCTCATAAAATTTCATGTCCAGCCTTCTTAAATTCCGTTACCTGCCGTTCAAACCAACATATTCATATTTCTCTTTCTCCTCCCTTCTCTCCCATCTTAAATAGATAGACCTTTTATAATTATGAACAATTTCATATAAAAAATAAATAATTTCAATATGAATAATGAACAACTCATTTTATTATGATTATAACACTTAAAATAAAATTAAAATTCAACACATGGTACAAGCAACTTTTATAGGTAAATGAATAAATTTTTTTACTGTAATTATAATACTTAGAATAAAATTAAGATTCAGTTATGAAAAAAATAACTCCTTTAGATCAATAAAAAATTTTATATGAAAAAAATGAACAATTTCAATAAAGAATCAAAAGGGAAGGAGACAATAAAGTAATTTTACTTAACATTTTAATTTTACTTTAGTGAATTTTCAAAATTTAAAGGGCTTTTCTTTTTTTTTTAATTAGGTGTAATTAAGGGTTCTTAAATAAAATTTTTTCTATAATAGGAGTAGGGACTGACCAGCTGAGGTCAACGGCATTGCACATGAGGAGCGGAGACGAGAGGTTTAAGGAGTACACGTCTCGATCCTCTCATTTAAGTCCTAAAACTGATTCGCGTACGGCGCAGTTTCTATACGGCAACTTGGGTGAGGCGGCGTCAACGTCAACACCCAATCACACAAACCTCAGCTTATTCTTTATCATCATTATTTCAGATATCAGTTGTTACTCCGAACCTATCATATAAAATTCTAGCATTTTTCTTGATACAACATACTTTATCTAAAATATTATTATTTTTTCTCTCCTATATCCCCAACAAATTCTAAAAGTTCTTAACTAGTTGTATTGAGAGTAATTTTTGGAATTTTACCAAAAAAAACTAATTGTATTACTTCACATAAAATTATAATGAGTTTCTTATGAAAAGCCACCCTCACAGTAGTTCAGAGTGCAGCTTCAACGTGAAAATTAGTCGCAACTGACAGCTAATTGCAATTGTGTTTGTTCTCACGGAGGGGAAGACTGCGGGGCACTGCTTTTTCTCCCACTTGGTGAAACCGCCATTTAATTTTCAATTCAGTGGACCGGGAAGGAGCTGTGGAACCCAAAAATACAATTTTAATCTTGAAAGAATTTCAGTTAAAGGCCAAAAAATTAATTTTAAGTGAGTCAAATTTTTTTTTTTTGAAATTTCAGTTCATTTTAAAAAAAAAAGTTAAAAGCATTTTAATGACCATAAGATCAAAATATCCTTTACTTATTATACAAAATCACTAATTATTAATTTTCTTATTATACTTGTTAATTTATCAATATAATTTGTAAATTATATCAACGTCAGACAATTAGTAATATTAATTAGTCATTAATTTATTAATTTTACTTATTAATTTACTAACACCAATCGTAAGTTACAAGACTTGTTAGTAATTTATAAATTTACAATTAATGTTAGTAAATTATAAGATCTATCAGTAGCTTATAATTGATATTATCAAATTAACAAGTAAAGTCAACAATTTAATTACTGATGTTGCTGCTTATAATTGCAAAACTAATCTCAAATGTTATATAATCATTAACATGTCGACTTATATAATTTATAATTTATATTCATAAATTAACAAGTGGAGTAAGAAAATTAATAACTAGTGATTCTGCATAACAAGTGAAAGATATTTTAATCTTTTTACCGTTGATTATTTTGACTTTTTTCCCATTAACTGAGCTGAAATTTTAGAAGTTTTTTGGATCCACCTAAATTAATTCTTTGCAATGGTCCTCAATTAAAATTCTCCCTTTAATCTTTATATTTTAAATTCCTAAATCCTTTTAATATTTATAAAAACTTTAGATATTAAAATTTTTAAATAGTTTTAATCTTTAGTATAATTTTTAAACAGTTTATAATTGATATTAGCAAATTAACAAGTAAAGTCAGCAATTTAATTACTGATCTTGCTGCTTATAATTGCAAAACTGATCTCAAATGTTATATAATCATTGACATATCGACTAATATAATTTATAATTTATATTCATAAATTAACAAGTGGAGTAAGAAAATTAATAACTAGTGATTCTGCATAACAAGTGAAGGATATTTTGATCTTTTTTTCGTTGATTATTTTGACTTTTCTCCCATTAATTGAGTTGAAATTTTAAAAGTTTTTTGGATCCACCTAAATTAATTCTTTGCAATGGTCCTCAATTAAAAGTCTCCCTTTAATCTTTATATTTTAAATTCCTAAATCCTTTTAATATTTATAAAGACTTTAGATATTAAAATTTTTAAATAGTTTTAATCTTTAGTATAATTTTATTTTTTAAAATATAGTGATCAATATTTAAATAAAAAAATTATACATTTAGCCTTATATATTTTATGTGCTTGTTTTTAATTAAATTAAGATATATGTATCTATTATAGATTATTTATTTTATAACAAATTCTTGTTATTAATATTATTAACATATTAAAATCCACATATTTTGATTTAATTGGATGAAAGTATATTAAGTATTTAAGGGTAAGTATAAAAGTCTTGCCTTTTAAATAATTAAAACTATAGAGATTGAGTTGCAAGAGTTAAAGTTAAAAAAATGAGTTATAATTAAAACTTCAAAAGCCAAATAATTAATTTTTTCCAAAACCAATTCTCATTTATGATATGAATTAAAGTTGTAGATAGATTATGCAGGATTGGATGTAATTAAATTGAGTTAGCATCGTAGTCCGAAAAAATACATAAGTTTTGATGCAATTTACAATTCATTTCTCAATGTCTGCAATTTAGCTGTTTAATATAGGTTTTATAATTGTGCCATATCATCAATTGATGAAGGGTTTGGGTTAAGGTACTGAAAATTGAATTAGGATCATATTGAACTAATCAATACACCATGGTTCAAGAGTTGACCGAAAAATTTTCATACTTAAACTGCGATCAAACCAATCATAAATAAAACATTTTATTAAATTCATTAAAACACTGAATTAATAGTTTACCGGTTCAATCAAAAAGTTGATTCAGATCTACTGTATGGTTGTGGTATAAAATCATGCATAAGCTTTTTCTCCCCCTTTCGTTTTGACAGTTAATGATTTCAAGAGTTGGGTATCATTTTACAAATTCCGGAGATCGGTTTGTCCTTATTTGAAGATCTATCGGTCAATTTTCATTAGATGATTAATTGCTCATCCTTCGTCGTTAACAGAGCAAGAATTTAAACCTCCGTGATACTTTCGGCTTTGTCCCGCCGTTTTCATCAAAGACCAAAAATCTAAAGCCTTCCATCATCTACGTATTGTTCCCACCATAACGCCTTCTCACCATCATTTTTTTTTTTTTAAGAATTACACAGAAGTCCAAGTTCAATTTTATAGACTTGAGGTAATTAATTATCTTGAGTAGAACCTTTAAATAATACCCCCCCCTTTCTTCTCCTTTCTTTCTTTCTTTCTTTATTTTTTTAAGTTCTTCGCCATGAATTGACCTGGAAACTTGTGAGAGGCCAATGCAACATTTGCTGCAAAAATTATCCCCACTTGATAGTGACTGGTAGAATGATCTTTCTATAATACAGAGGGGCTCAAGTAAAAGAAATAAAAAATCACGTTATTCGGAAACAACGTGATTTTGTTTTGACATATAACGATTGATATTTAAATTAACTAGTTAACTCCGGTGGCAAACTTCCCAAGCCAAAAAGTATAACAATCTAGCTCGGCTCCTGAGATGAGTTTGATGAGTTAGCCCCTCTATATCACCTGATCAAGCAACACACGCGCACGCACTAAATCAATGGACATTTTCTCCCACATGTTGTCATGGATGAGCAACGAGCGATTATTTTAAGAATAATTTTTGGGCCGAGAGAAAATTATTGGGAGAAAGCCCTTAAAAGTGCATGATAAATGTTGTTTTCTTTCTAATTTTCTTGTCATTCTAATAAGTGGAAATAGAGAGAATAGTTTGGTGAAAGAAAGAGTATGGATGAGTCACCCCTGAGTGAATGCTGAATCTGGGAATCCAAAATGGAGGAGCATCAAACCAGACAGCACCCCAGCAGTTTCTCAATCATCGATGATGGTTTGATTAAAACGGACAAACCACGAAAATGATCAACGAGGAAATGTCAATATCACGAGTGAAGACGAGATTCAAGTCGCATACTCCTATATCTTTAATTGTTGCCACATCAGCATCAATCGCAGACAAACAAAATGCTGGCTCGACGTGGCTTGTGATGTGATTGGACCCAAATCCAATGGAATGGCTCAGTAGCCATGGACGATCTGAGAGCACTTATTCTTGATCCACCGGAGCCCCTTCCTGAGCGATGTCTTCACCTTCCCCTCAACCGCGTACACCTTATACTTGGCAATCCTCTTCTTCCTCCTGCCCTCCGGATCCTTGAATCCCCACGGCTTTGCTGCGCTCACACTTCCCGGAACCGGTGAACCTGGTCGCCCCGTGTAGCTGCTATTGGAAGTGTAGCTTTTGCCGCTCACGATGCCGTATGGGCGGTGACCTGATCCGGACCCTTCCATGGCGCTGATCGGAATCAATGGCGCAAGGGAAGGGAAGAGTCGGAGAGGGAGGTCGGAGGCATGGAGGATGTATTTAACAATGATAGAGGAAGTGAGGAACGAGGTAAAGGTTAGGGTTTTGGGGGGGGGGGGAAGGGGCAGAATGGGGAAAATATATAATGAAAGCAAAGCAAGGAAACGTGTCTTGAGGGAGAAATGTGCAACGGTTTGCAAGTTGGGACAGGGATGAGTGCAGTGCTGGGAACTCGGAGTTAAACAAAGGAAAGGAGGAGCGTTTCGATTTGTTTTTATCGAAACTCTTAAAGAAAAGAAAAAGGAGAGCCCATTTTCAAAGGCTTCTGGCAAAACTGTCTCAGTTTGAGTGCTTGGCTTGGTGGACAGGTCCTCGCCTTACGCCAATGAGAAAATCGACGCCTTTGTCGGTTATGGTCATCGTGCATCGCATCATTATGTGGAATCATTTATGACAAAGGGAGGGTTATTGCAGTTCATAGTGGCAATGAAGAATGTGGCTCGAGAATGTTTTCCTGGGTTCTTGACCAATAGAAGGCTGGCCAACTTTGAGAAAGCCAACCAGGAGGCACTGGAAAGTACGTGGAAAAGTGAACCATGATATCACTACTTGTCAGGTGCCCTCAAAAATTTCAAAAGCAAGATTTTCATGGAGGAGGGACAGCCCAAAGCTATACATTAGTCATTGGGTTGCTGGAGATTATTATATATATTTACGGTCCTCCTCTTCCTTCTCCCCTACCTATCAGGTAATTGAGGATTTGAAGTGGCACCACACTATATATAGTATACATCAGCGCCGGATTTGTGCGATGTAACCCACTTAATATGCAAATATTATTATTGAGCGATGGAGATCAAGAGAAGAAGCGGGGAAACTACCGCGACGAGCGTCCTGTTTGATGGCTCTTTCTGTAATCCGGATAGAATTGAGAATGGGTTAGTGTGTACAAACAAGGATACGACGTCATTTCTATCACACCTTTTTTGGTTTAATTTGGGAACGCCTCCCTCAAAAACTTGGGCCTTTGAGTCTGCTCGTGGCGGTGCTTTTCCTTGTTTTTCTTGGGCTTCTGTTACTGCGAAACCAAGTAATTTAAGGACTGTTTAAAATTATTTTTATTTTATTATTTTAAAAATTAATATTTGTAGAATATATTTTGAGAATAAAAAATAATAAAAATAAATATTTTTTTTCATTCTCTCTTATTCTTTAAAATAATAATTACAGAACACCTAAAAGTTATTTTTATTTTTCTATTCTCTAAAATAATATTTTATTTTTATTTTTCAAAACACTTTTTAAAATCATGTTACCAAACAGATTTTTTTATTCTGAAAAACAAAAAACTGTTCTTAAAATAGGTTTTCAAACAGGCCCTTAAATTTTTGTGGTGAAATGGGGCCATAACATTATCACCAAGCACGTGATTATACACTCTTTTTTTATTACTGTTAAAAAAATTATCACTTTTAATTTATATTTTTTATAAATAAAATTATTTATTTCAAATTTTATTGCACATTTTTTAAATCACTCTTCATAAATGTATACTTATGTTAATTAACATAGGGTGTTTTAATATACTTTTTTATTTTCAGACATAATTATTATAATTACTTAATTTTTTTTAAACTGTATGATATAATTTTTTTATATTCCCTTCATTTCTACTTGTGGGAGAAACTGTCATTTTTTACTTTTTTTTATATAAGCAGAATCACCCATTTCAACAAATATTTATTACATATTTTTTAAATTACCTCTTATAATTTATATTAATGAGAAATAATTAATACATACTTATATTGATTAACATAGAAAATTTTAATCTAATTTTTTTTATTTTCAAACATAATTAGTATGATTAAATAACTTTTTTAAACTGATATAATTTATATATATATATATATATATATAAAAACGGAGGGAGTGTATAAAAATGGAGGGAGTACCTTGCTATGCATGCATTAGTCTAATGCACAACCCTTGTAAATTGTAATATAATAATGGACCATGGGTGGAAAATTCAATATTATTGTACATGTACACAGAATGCAAGGACATGTGTTCAGTTTCAAATAATGCTAACACGCACTCCAACACATAGCCAATCAAAGATTCCGCGGGACAATGAAGGTGGCAGGAATTTATAGGAAAAATTTATATGTAGATTAGAGCAGTACAGAGTCATTTCTTCCAGCTCGCATGTGAACACATAGGAGAATGAATTAAATGGAAGTGAGACGTGCGAGCTGTGATGAGTTGAAGCTTAGCTTAGAATTCGGAGGCAGGAATATTAAAATCTTGCGATATGATTTACCAAGCTGTATAGTCCTATCAATCAAAGAATGGTATTAAATTCACAGGACCGCGTGAAGTAGGAAGGAACATGTGCATTTGGGTTTGTATTTTTATAAGTCGATCCGATCGAGTTTAGGAAATTTGAGGATGACGAGGAGACGCACTGAGACATGATTGAAAGCTCAAGGCCCACCGCATTGGGCAAAGGTCCTGCAAGAGTGGTTCATGGCGCTTGCCATAGAGGCTTGAGTTCACAAGCAAAAAGCCAACTTCACGGGGATGCATGGGAACATCCACGTAAAGCTAATGCCCCACTGCACGTTGTTCTCTGGCCGCCTCTGACTACGGTTTTGCTTTCTATTTCACCTTTAATTTTTGTCAACTTCCATTCTCTAATTATTAAATTAAGGTTCGTTTTTTTTAAATGTGGATTAAGGTTTCATTTTTTTTTTGGTACAATTAAGGTTTCGTTTTTGTCAACAAATAAGTATATAAATTTTAAAACTCCTCGTCATCTACTCCTGAATCAACGCAGAGAACAAACATTATCAGCACGGAGAAATATGGTACTTTACGTTGCTGGGATGAGATGCGTACAATGTTTAACCCGATAGATGGTTACGTCAAGAGCACTTTTTCTCATTTTGTGCTGCAAGCGAGACTTGGTTTTGCTCTGACCATGAATCGCAGCTCGATCTTTAATATTATCTTCTATACCACACGCAATTTTGTTTTTTTTTTTAAAGGTTTAGATTGATAGTTTGCACTAGGAGGGACAAGGTTAGCGGATCCTATTAGTACTTATAATTTCCACTTTTTTAAATAGGTCCATACACTTCAAAAATTAAAATCATGTTAAAATTACAATCTTGTAAATTTTTCTGGGCAAAAAATTTAAAAAAAAAAACACATAAGTTTAACATTTGACAAATCAGCATCTTCTCAAAAGGCGGGGATTTTCTCTTCTTCCTTTTCCATCCTCTTCCATCCATTATATCAAAATTTAGATGATTTAGATTTAATCTCCTTTAAAATTATTATTGAAACATTAAAGTATAAAGAATACAAAATATTAAAATACAAATTGCTAAAATTTAATATGAACAATTAAAAATACCGTAAAAAAAAAATAAGAACATTGTATAGGAAATCAAGCCTGGACCATCATAATCTTGCTCTAATGGTTAGAAATTAAGAAGAAGATGGGAAAATGATAGAAAGGAAAGAGGAAAGAATACTCCCCCCTTCTAAACATTGTCACGCCAAGTGGACAAATCAGGGATAAACCGTGAGAGCCAGCTCTGCTAACCATGAGAATTATAGAGATTTTTTTCTTAAAAAAAAAAAACAGGTTTTTGGATATAGGAACCTCTTTTGAAAATGAGTATAAAGTATAAGTACTAATTAATTATTTTTTATGCAAAAAATTTAGGCTTCTTTGTACCATGTGATTTAGGGCCCTTGTTTTGTGTATTTTTTTTTATCATCAAGTTTGAGATATAATTGAATATTAAATATAAACATATTTTTTTAATAAAGATTCAAACTATCTTGTGTGTCGTCTTGTTAAGGTCTGTAGGAATGAAAATCCTCAAATTTCTTGAGTTGGTAGAGTTTAACCTTGACGTTACAATTTTTAGTTCATTTATATGAAAAAATAAAAAAAATACTCTCATTTTTTAAAAAATATAAAGTATTTTTAATTAAATTTCATATCAATAAATTAGTTAATGATTTTTAAAATAACACCATCTTTTATATTTACCTTTATTTAATAAGGTATTCTACTTAAAAATAAATATAAAATGATTCATTTATTAAGGACATTTAAAAAAATACATTAATTATACCTTGAAGCATTACAAATATCTTGCATTTTTTAAAAAATAAACTCTCAAAAAATTCCTTATATTTTAAGGAATGGAGTTAAATTCTCAAATTTCAAACTTCACTTTCAACGCTAGAGACTACCTTTCAAGTAGGAGAGGAAGTAGGATAGGGGCTTACAACTTAACTTACTTTAGGCCTAACTTAACTTATTTATTAAATAGGTCCATGTTAGGTCCAAGTATTTGCTTAGACTCATTTAATTAAATAGGTCAGGTATATTTTTATAAGTTCTAACATACGCGCATAACAAGCCGACCTATATATATATATATATATATTATGTAATATGTAATATATTATACACACGTTAATTTCACCATTTAATTTTAATTAATTTTTTTATTTTTAATTATATACTTTAATTAGGTTGGACTTATATATTAATTTTAATATTTTTAATTTATTATTGTGTTGTCTTATAATTGGTAAATCCTCTTAGTTATTGTATATTATAATTGATAAATTAAGTTATATATATGTTAAATTTAATAGTATTAAAGTATATTTGAGATATTTAAAACTACATAAACCTATTTAAAGCGCTTACTTTTGAATAGATTTTTAAATAAACTTTAAGGTTAAGTTTTAAGTAAAATTAGGTCTGAGTTGCACAAAAATGCCTTATATAAGTTTTAAATCAAACTCAAATCTCTAATACATCATGCTTTAAATTTATTTGGCTAAAATTTAACCTGATCTAACTTATTTTCACCTTTACTTTCAAGTCTACCGTCTTTCTTCAAACAAACAAATTGGCAAAGACTTGTCGTCCTAGTTCAGTAGTTCTTCACTTGTCTGTTGTCGGGTGTTGCGTTGGTCAATGGATCAAGGATAACGTTGCTGGGTCCAAGGCAAAATCTCATGAAGCATCACCAGCTAAAAATTTACAAGGCCCATCTATGTTGAGAACCCAGCAACTCCGTTAACCAATTCCTTCACTGTCGCAGCCCTGAGCTCAAGATTTGAATTTTTCTTTTTCGTTGCTGCCAAGGTTTCAGGCATTCAGCTCCTGAATTTTACGTGAAACCCTCCGTCTCGTTACAAAAGAAAAGCGAGAAGGTACCCTAGATTTGGACAAAATGCGCCCAAGTGTAAATATTAATGATAAGCATGTGACCAACAAAGACGCTAACTATACAAGTGGTTTAATCTTACAAGTACACTTCTATATCACACGCATACACGCCAACAGAGAGTTCTGTATATAAATATATATATATGTGCATAACACAAAAGGAGAATTACTTCAAGAGGCAGTTGGAAAAAGCATAGCAGGATGCTAAATATGGTGGGTGTGAAGTAGAAGTTAACATTTTTGCTAGTTGTGTTGTGGATCGGAAGCCGTGAAGACCTTGCTGAGCCTGCTTGGTGACATTCTGGCGGCATCACCGCCTCGCACGTTTCTGCTGCTTCCTCCGCCACAACCATAAACCGCCCTGTATGCTAGCGCTCTTCCCAAGTGGCCTTTCTCATAGTATCTGTTGCTTCTTGATTGTGGTGCAGCAGCGTCTTGGATGCTCCAACCTACGGTGTCCGAGAATTCGAAAATACCTTTCTCACTTGCCATTTTTCTGACGACTATGCGGAAGCAAATGGCAATGCAGTAAGCAGACAGCCCGGCTGGTACTCTTATATAGTGTGGGGAAAATGATAAAAAAAAGGGGGGGGGGGCTGAATCGAGCGTAATAATCAAATATGAGTTACAAGCTAGAGCTAAAGATGTTGAAAGACTGAAGAAAAGGGTTCAGCTACCAGATCCCTAGGGCTCTTTACCAGCTAACATGGTTTTTTTTTTTTTTTTTATAATTCTCTTGCAGCACAAGAAACCCAATATACCAGCTATCTCATCTTATCCGAACATGTCCACTTGTCCGTATAGTTTCTGAGAATCTTATTTTTGTAGCCCTCGTAATGGGAGCTCGTCTTGCCTTTTGTTTTACAAATTAAATGCCATTTCAAGAACTACAGAATAGATTTAAACATTGTGGCATTCCTGGCTAGTTCATTGGAAGAGTATTCTTAATATCATTAAAAATAAAAGTGTAAGACAAAGCTACGGCACAATAAACTGATTGTTTTGCTAATTTAAAACAAATTTCACCTTTAAAAATCCTTTAGAAAATGACTTCCTACATAGACACCCTCCTCGACTTGTCGCAGTCCAGTAGAATTTTAATTCATAAAGTGAAGGGTGAGAGGAGAGGAGAAAAAAAGTGATTGCGTGACTCTGAAACAATGCTATGTGGAGTATATTGTCTGCAATTTGGAACCTACTTTGATCTTATAACCAGATGCCACAACTGATCTCCCTCTCTCTCCTCGGGCCAACTTCTACACAGTGATTTCGATTAAACCATTTTAATCAAACACGCAAGGGAGGTTAGGAGAAACTGGAAGGGTTTAAACTTGACTGCATGCTGATTAACCGGCCTTCTGATTAAGAGGTTCAGACAGCTAAGATCAAGGGAAAAAATCACCGACAACTTTATGTTAAAGGTTTAGAAATGGAATATGATGCGTTTCCTTGGAACATGTCTACAACCCCCCCCCCCAAAAAAAAAAAGCCTACGTCATCATCTGCAGACGATTTTGTTTTGTTTTATAAATAAACAAATGCCTTTCTTGCGGATGAAAACATGAAAGGGGCCCCGCAATGTAGACAAAAACAAACATACCATAGACCTTGCACCCTCTACAAACACTTGTTTACTTCATATGATCTTTTAGTAAAATATTATCTTACACATCTCTAAAAAACATCATCTTACATTGAAGGAGGAAGCTTGATCACTCCGAAGTTATAGTCACACACTCATCCCCTCCATTTGACTTCTTCCATCCTATCATCAAATATCTCTTCAGCCAATTCAATGAAGCACACTAAGTCCCCCAGCGTCTAAAATCTTACCAAATCTTTCGGCAACCACGGCTAAAGTGGCATTGCTCTTACAAAAAGCAAACCTGACGTATCTCTTCTGGCAGTAATATTCTTCATTAGAAGCTTCTGAATTGGGATGAAAAAATCCTTGTCCTGGTACAGCCACCACCCCGGCTTCTACTATTAGTTTCTTAACAAATTCTACCTGAAAACCATGAATGTATTTGTTCCTACAACTTCAGATAGAACATGACAATTTAAATATTTCTCAAACTAAATTTATCAGGAGAGGAAAGAAAGCACATACATCTGAATGGGGATAATCGTCAGGAAGCTCAGCAAATAAAAAGAAGCCACCCTGAGGTTTAAACTGTACCTTTAAACCAACTCGAGCAAGCAAATTGATAATATAATCTCTTTTTGATCCATAATCCTGGTTATAAAATAAGAAACATTACAAAAAGATGAATGAGAAAGATAGCAGAAACGTAATTATAAAATCTATTGCAAGCCCCATTATTCACGAATTGCTAACAGAGATTCCTTCCTCAAACCCTAAACAATTCATGAAAGCGATGTGACCCTGTATGGCAACCCAATTGGCATCCAAAATGTCATTCTAGGTGACATTTAATATGACATTCTATTTGGCAATCCAATCCTAGATGGTAGCATGTAAGTGGCATTACATGTTATCAAATCACCCAAAGCCAAGTCACCTAAGTGGAGGAAAACCCAGGTAAAGATACTTATATTCAAGAGGCTATAAAATGTGTTGGAGTGCAAATTACTATATTAAAGGCCCAACACACAAGTATACACTTGGAGGAGGCAAATTGGGCCATAATCTTCCTTTAAGCCCAAAAGTATATTCTATGTCTTATTCTTCTTTTGAGGCAAAGGCTTCAATAAGCAAGCTAACAAAAGGCACAGGAAAGTTGTCTTCAAACCTGAAGATTGGGCTTAGGTACATCTAGGTACATCTCAGGCATAGGAGATTTTCAAATTTGAGGAAGACAAAGTTGCACCCAAAAGACGATGGACCTTTTCAAGTGATGGAATGAATTAATGATAATGCTTGCAAAATAGACCTCCCTAACTTCTATAGGAATGTGTTAACTACATTCAACATTACAGACCTTTCTTCATTTGATACATGTGATTCGAGAATGAATCCTTTTCAAGAGGGACGGAATGACAAGAATCAAGGAATGAGTCAAAATCCAATATTTAGTATCTTTGATCTGTTGTAATGCATTAAAGGATCAATGACTAAATCCAGAGCTAAGAGGATGAAAGAAGCTCTAAATTCATTAATTAGGGATGTCTTACATGATCAAAGAATCCTAAAGACAAATGGAGTTCTAAAAGACCCAAGAAAAACTCTTACCATGATAGGCCTAACTTAAGATACTCAGGCCCATAAGTACATTCAGTTTAGTTAATGTTATTTTTTTAAAATTTAGGAAGTTAGTTTATCTTATTTTATTTTAATATTTAAGTTTGGAAAATTTGTTCATTTTGTTTGAAATTCACATAAGGATAAAATATATCTATTGGGACATGATTTATTCATTTTGAATCCTAGATTAACTAGGATTGCATCATTAAGGCTTTTAGAAGTTTATTTAAACAATTCAACCTTTTGTATTTAAAAAAAAAAAACTTCATTGAATTTATAATTGAATTTTCTTTCAATTGTTGGTTATTTCGATTAATGTTGTTCTCTTTGAAATTTCGAGTTATTATGAACTATTGTTCGGTTGACTTATATCAGAAAGTCCACCTTGTTATCATTAAATCGGCCTTTTGCCCCCAGGGTTTCATTATGATATTAAACTTTAGTTGTATGGAATATGGTCATATTGAAAGATGTACACTCAACAAGAACAACAATTTCATCTTGGCCTCTTACTTTTCTCATTGATTCAAAGTACTCAGGGCGGCTCCTCAAAGCAGTCAGAGCAGCTTCCTGAAAAGGTGCAGGAGCAGAATCCGTGATTCTGACATGAATATTTCTTATTGCAGATGCAATGAATGGTGGGGCGATTGCCCATCCAACCCTCCAACCTGTTTGATAGTAGACCGTCAATAAAATTATGTTATTCTCATAAAAAAAACGTGAGAATTTAAAAAAAGAGTATATTTCGGGTACAGTTTGGTTGCACGCAGCATTGACCTGTGACACTATATGTTTTAGATAAAGAAGAAGTTATAACAGTCCGTTCTTGCATCCCTGAAAATGAGGCAAGGGAAATGTGCTTTGCATCGTCATAAGTCATATGCTCATATACCTGCATAAAGTATCAGGAGAAAATAGCACGCACATGTTAACTAGATAGATTTTCCTTATCTACTAGAAAATTCAATAAAGAACAAATGAGGCAAGGAAGATAATATATAGTTAAAATTGGAAAGTTGATAATAGAATAAGCACACATCACCATAACATAACATAAAAGCTTTGGCACTAAAACAAAATGTATATTTCCCTCTCGTTATATTTAGCAGCACAACCATCAGCAGATTCATATGGAACACGAGTATGCATTTAACAGCATTACCATCAGCAGCTTCATATGGAACATGAGTATGCATTGTGTATCACCAGATAATTTCTCGTTTAAACCCTCAAACTGAAATTCCGCCAGCATGAAGATAAGGAGCATCATACTTCATCTGTTATAGCCAGACAATTTCGGCTGCAGCATGCTCCAGCAATAGCCTCAAGTTCGCCTTTTGTGAAAACTTTGCCAGTTGGATTGTGAGGACTGTTTGAACTTTATGTTAGCATTTGCATAAACCATAATCTGAGGATAAGCACATCCTCTAAACATTCACTTTCACAATGATTCTGACAAGTCTTGATGGATTTCATTTTCCAGAAAGATGAAACATTAACAAAGAGATTGAATGATGAATTTACCGGCAGAATATAGAGAAAGGATTTTAAGAAACAACTGTAACGTTCACACAGCTAAAAGCCTAACCCTTGGTTTCGATGGGAGAAAATTAGAAAGGGTTAATGAGCATTTTAAATCCTAAAGTATTATGCAAAAAGTACCATGAATTCTAAACTCCTAAAATATGCAAAATGGACCATAAACTTCTAAATCCAGAGCAAATTTCACCCCTCCATTAACTTACAGATAATACCGTTAACTGTTGACTTAGTGGGATCCAGTCAAATACTGATATGGCAGTCCCTTGTTGACGTGTCATCAGTTAATGAGCACCATAGACCTTAAATTATTGCGTGAGTAGCATTCTAAACCCTAACTCTTAAATTCTACAAAAACTTTCTTGAACTTTGAAATTCAGATCAAATTACCCCCTATCGTTTCAATGATGTGTCATCCCTCCTCACATATTAATAGTGTTCTCATCTTTCTGCCTTTACTAAGTTCGTTAGTAAGGGGATTTGAGAGAACAATGCTGCATCTCTCTCAATTGGCCTTGAGCATCTCTTTAAAATGCAGGAAAGAATTCATTCTCTGCAGCCTCAATTACTTCTTGAATTTGTTGATGAAATCGTCGGTTTTTGCATTCATCGTTTATAAAATCTCCAATTTCAAACCCATTTTAAATAGTTAATTAAAATTCTTTGATACTTAATCTTCTTTTCAAATGAAATTTCAAGTTTTCACCATTAAATAAACAAACATTATTCAAAATAAGATTAAATCAAGGTTATAGAGTATATCAAAGCATGAGATATCAATCGTTTGAAAAATATTACAAAAAAATGAGGCAAAAAATGTTATTTCACAAAATTACGGGTCGTTCACTGTAGTAGACCACGCTACAGCTAATTTGATTAATATAACAGTCAACGTTCTACACATAAACGGTTAGAATAATTTGCTTTGAATTTCAAAGTTCATAGGAATTTTTGCACATTTTAAGAGTTTAAGATTCAGGATGTTACTCATGCAATAGTTTAGAGTCTGTGATACTCATCAACTGATAAAACATTAGCAAAGGGCTGCCACATTAGCATTTGATTGGACCCTACAAAGTCAACAATTAATGGCATTATTTATAGGTTAGTGTTGGTGTGTAATTTGCTCTAGATTTTAAAATTTATGATTCATTTTGCACATTTTAAAAGTTTAAGATTCAAGGTGCTTTTCACGTAATACTTTAAGGTCCAAAATGCTCATTAACTTAATTAGAAAAAATACCAAGAGAGGAAACTTTCAAAAATGGTAATTTTTTAATTATTTTTGGAAGTTTTCGGTCCTAGCATTCTTTCCTCACTGTTTTTCCTCCTATCCAAACCATGCCTAAAAGTTTAAACGGAAGTAGCTAGATTGGTGTGTCTTTTTAGTTCAGGTGTAAGACAGGATTTTGATTTTCATTTTTAGAAGAACAAGTTTGGAGCTTTCAAGATGAGGATGAAGTCTATTTAAAGTTCAATGTAGTTAAAGAAATTTCCAACCTGTTCAACACGATGGCTTTTGTTCTTTCAGTAAATGAGTTCAGGAAGTTGGTTAGATCCAGGGTCCATTGAGGGGGGTCAAGTGGCACGTGTACCTGTGATGCCCATAAAGTTCACCAAAAACAAATAGACATTAGATAATTAAAATTTCAAACCAGCCAGTTCAAAACGGGAGGCTGCAAGACCAGACTGCAGGCTTTATAATACTGCCAAATGAATTGAAATCTTACTGGGATTCCCCCGGCAAAAAGAATGCAAGCTTCATAAGTTTCATAAGAAGGGTCGAACACAATGACCTCGTCACCCGGGTCAATTACTGTTTCAATTGAAACATAAGATAAAATGATTTGGTCAGCTAAACAAAAAAACGGCCAAAGTATCTAACAAACTCATTGCTCGTGCTTAGGGAACAAGACAGAGTAATATATATATATATATATACACACACACGTACTTGCGAAAATTGCTGCAGCGAAGGCCTCAGTTTGACCACAGCAAATAGCTACATCTGTAAGAGGGTTGATGTCTAAACCATGCATTTCCTTCACTATCTTTGCCAGGAGATCACATATTCCTTGCACATGCCTGAAATTAGAAACAGTCTGTCAAAATTCAAATTAAAAAAAAAATGAAAAACAAGGGGGTGGGCGAGGCTAAACGAGCACACAATCTAGATTCTAAAATACCTGGAATCAACTTCGTTTATTTTGGGAGGCAAGATATTTGAATAGTCTAACAGTTACAGAAAATTCACCTGTACTGGTTTAAGTCAGAAGCAATGGCAGAAATGGCGGCATTTTTTATATGGGAAGGGGCAGGAAAGTCGGGGAAGCCCTCGGCGAGATTGACGGCGTTGCAGCTCTGAGCAAGGAATGACAGTTCCTGAATAGGAGACGACGCTAGCTTCTTTGCAGAGCGGGACAACTTCCCTTCCATTTTCCTTCCTCAATACCCTTAAGTTCGCCTTTATCTGTTGGTGCCTTTACCTTATCACTCCCTGTGCTGTTCAGATTCCAACACGCTCACGTCTTTTTTCGTCGACTTTTTTATTGGCACCCGAATTTGTTGACCTTTTTTTTAAAATTTTTTTTAAAAACAATTAGTTAATTGATATAAAATCAAGCGCAAATATCCGATGGTCTGACAGAAAAAGGCAAGCTGATGTTAAATTCCTACTCCTATTTTTAAATATAAATTTTAAATTGATTAATATTAATAATTATGCTTAAAATTAAAAATTCTATACTAAAACGATCTTGTAATTAATAATATTATCAGATGATTGAAAAAATGTCATAAATACTTTTTAAAAATCATTAGTATCACTTTGTTTATAAAAAATAAGAAAAATTATATAAAAAACTTTGCTTACATTTATTTAAAAACGGAGAGGATTACCGTCACAATTCAATCTAAAAGGCAGTCGAAAAACCAGACTCGATCAATATCGTCGTCCAATCATCATGGGCTTCTTTCTCTGTAACGATGTGATTCACAAGCCAGAGCAGATATGCGCGAGACAAGCCGATAGCCCCAAAGGGCAATTTGACTGCAATAGTACAGACAAAAAATTAAAAAATATAAAAGTTGGTTTTAATCAAACAAAAGTTATATACTTTATTTAAAACAAAAAATTGATGTAAGAAGCTGCCTTTTTTCTCTGCGTAAATAAATCATTTATTTTTTCTATTCTATTACTCGATATTTTAAAAAATTCGAAGATGTTAACACACAAAGCCATCATGTTTTTGTTATTAATTAATGTCACCATATCTTCTTATTTATATTTTTTATTTTTTATTAATTAAAAAATAAAAAGTTAATATGTCGCTTCTAATTTTTTATTTTTATTTTAAATATCAACTTATCTCTTTGATTTGAAACTTTTTAAATTATTTAAATAAAAAATTTTAAACACATAAATTTTAAATATTAAATTTGAAATGTGATATTTTAAATATAAAATTTATATATAAATTGGCATAGATAACAATCGCGCACAACCGGAGTTGACATTAGCCTAAAAAAGAAGTGATAATATCTTCAAATTTTTTAAGGTACCAAGCAAATAGAATAAAAAAGAAGAAAAATTAGATAATTATTCACATAAAGGAAAAGAAAGGGAAAAAACTATTAGCTTGTCACGTTAATTTTTAAATAAAATATAAAACTTGATTAAAATCAACTTCCATACTTTTATATTAGAAAAAATTTTAAAACTCGGTCTAAATCAAATTAATTTTTAAATTTATAATATATATAAAAAATAATTTTGAAAGTGTCGTATAGGGAGAAATATTTTTTCCCCTGTAGTATTGCTGTCCAATTGCCTCCCCAAGGAGAGTTTTCTTCGGGAAGTGAGTCCCGTCTGAGACAAGGAATGCACCGTAAATAGATTCAGGGGCTTTGAGCAAAGAAGGACCCAACTGTCATATTTTCCCTTCGGTTTTCCCGCTCCAGCCAAGTCATCTCATGACTATGTGACGTATTTATGGCGAGCTATGCTTTGTTTCACTGTCTGTGTTTGTGTTTTGGTTACTTCTAGTAGTTCATTGGGTTCCGTTAGACTAACAGTCTTATAAGCACACATTTAACCTTAGAAGGAAGATGCTTTTATGTTGGTGGTTAGTGCACATGGGACTAGTTGTTTGGGTCGGGCTCCGTCTTTTTCACCTGTTTCTCCTCATCTGTTTCTTTATTTGTTTGTTTCCAAAAACAAAATTTGGATGTATGTGATTGGACACCGTATCACCGGCTCCATTAGAATTTGGCTCTCTTTAGCACCCCCATTATATATCAACGTCACTGCCTGATCAACTGCATAAGTGTACCCCTTATCAGAATTCATAACAGCGTTGTTCAGGAAGCCGGTGGAGCTCACGATTGAATCAACCGCGAATGCTAAGCCTCCACTCGCCTATTGAGTTTCTGTCGGAAAGAGTAAATAGGACTTAGAAATTAAGAGGCAAAAGCATTGAAGCCTCGATCCTTCAATTTTGACTACGAAACTGGGTCGAAGATCGAAGCCGAAGGTAATGGATGTTAAAGCAGAGAAAATCTGCAGGGATTGCCACACAAGGACTACACCACTATGGAGGGCGGGTCCAGATGGGCCAAGGGTACACCACCAACTGTTCCATCGTTCTAATTATTCCATATTTAATTTAATTAACACCGCCTTCTGATTTTACTTTTTTTGTTAAATTCGGCTATGTCCAGTCTCTCTGTAATGCATGCGGACTCCGATTCAGAAAGAGAACAGCGCTTCTGGGACTAAATAGTGCAGGATCACAAAAGCGCAGGAAGAGGACTCCGACTAGTAGAGGCTTGAGGAAGCACACACCAATTGGAAGGCAGATGAAGTTAAAAGAGGAAGAAGAAGCGGCCATATCACTGATGGCTCTTTCTTGTGGCTCTCTCTCTCTACCTAACAGAACGACACTACAACCCTAACAAGAGATATATACTGTTCTATTTTATGCATTTCATGTAGTGTAGATCGTTAATGCTGTTCTTCTGATACATTTGTAAGACTATCACCGTTTTCCCTCACTTCTGATACACTTGCTATGGCTGCTACTATGACTACTTTCTAACTTCCATGTATTGTTTCCAACCTAGTCTCCAGTATGCCCTAGCTATTCCGGACATCAATAGGGATTTTGAAACTCTTGTTACTATAAAACTTACCATGGCGAAAAGCCGAGAACAACCACCTTTCCTTTCGCTAGAGTCTTCCTCGATAGTACCGGTTTATTCTAAAGCACCAGCCTCTGCTAAGTTTCTAGAGGGATCCTTTCCCAAGGGGAAGCCGACACGCCAAGTACACCGTGACAATCAATATGTTGCCACGTCAAACGTTTCACACACGTGTCGAGTAAACTCGCGAAAGCACCACGCGCCCTATTTCTACGTCCTCTCGCTTTCCCATTTCGCATTCCACTTTCCAGAATCCAAGTCTAGAAAGCAGAACGTTACGGAAAGCACCAAAATGCAGTCAAGGTTATTGGAGAGCACGGCGAGGACTTCAATTCGTATATTATCTGCGGCCTACCGTCGTGATCTCCAGCGAAGATTTTGCGCTGCCTCCAGTGGTCAAACCGCTGATCCCGCCATTCATTCCGGTGAACGGGAAGCCGGCCCTGCGGTTCACAAAGGAGAACCCCAAGTAATCATTCGATTCATTTCCTATCAATATGATTGCCTCAATTTTCTATCTTTTCCATCGAGTCCTGACACTGTGATGACAATTGTGTCTATGAGTACTGCAGGGAATTAAGAGCACAGCAAATGCCAAATGTTCAGAAACAGAACACGTACCCAAAGAGGACGAGTTTCTTGAAACTCCCAAATCACCGTACGAATCTTCGGCAAAATTGAAGAGCCACGGGGTGAACCAGCGATTGGATCCAACGTTTCAACAAAAGCGTAAGCAGGGATCGAAAGCCTTCGAAGACGTGAGCTGTGCTGGTCTCGATGGAAGCCCGTGGCCGGAGGATCAGAGGAACAGAGCGGAAAAGCTGGAGGACGAGAGAGAATACTATAAACAACACAAAGCTTCGCCCTTGTCGGAATTAGAGTTCGCAGATTCTCGGAAGCCTATAACGCGTGCGACGGATGGGACCGCCGACTCTGGAGCAGGTAGGGATGTGACTGGTTGGCTGCCGGAGCAGCTTGACACAGCGGAGGAGGCACTCAGGAGGGCTACAGAGATATGGAGGCAGAATGCCATGCGTGGTGACCCTGACGCACCACATTCAAGGGTTCTTAGGGCTCTTCGGGGAGAAGATTTTTGAGAATGATGTACTGCTCGGATGGATGTATATTTCTTAGTTTATGTATGGAATTTTACATCTCTTGTGGAGCTGAATGCTTTGATCTTCCCCGGTGGTAGTGACGAGGAAGCAAGTTATTCGCGCTAAAGAACTCCGAGCAGTGAGCCAGCGAGCAAGCAAGTAAATGGGTCTAACGGGGAAAAGGAAAAACACAGGTCCGTCTGAATTTTTTCCGTTTCAGGCTCAGAAAATAAAATTTTATTTTTAAAAAATTAAAAAATTATTTAGATAGAATATTTTATAGGAAAAGTATATTCAATAAAAGTACATTCAAACAGTTCTTAAAAATACATTCAATAAAAATACATTCAAACAGTAATTGAAGTTAAATTGAATTTTTCAAACGTAAAAAGTAAGATGTTATTTGATTATATCATCCTAAGTTTAATTTCTTATTTTTTATTTAAAAAATAGTTAATTCATTAAAAATATAATTATTATGTTATTAATAATAATTAGGTATTAATTTTTTTAATATTAATTAATTATATTAATTTTTAGCATTAATGTATAATAAAAATTAAAAATATTTATTATATTTTTTAAAATTACAAATTAAAAAATATAAATAATTAGATATTAAATTTTTAACATTATAAATCAAAATTTATGTTATTTATAATTTTTATTATATTTTTAAATATTTTAAATATATTACATTTGTATAATAAAAATTATAAATTATTATAAATCAATATTCTTTTGGATAATTGTACATTTAAAAGCACATTTTATTATCATAAATCAAACAATTTTTAATGTATCAAATTGATTTTTAAAAAAATATATGTAAATATAAATTTTGTTATAATAATTAACTTTTATGAAACTAATTTTTATTAAATAAATTTTTATTAAATAAATTTTTGACAAACTGAAAATCAAACGCAAACACAAATTCTTTGGTCGTGTTCCGCTGCTTCTGTAATTAAACGTGCAGTATTTGTTTTTTGAAGGACAAACCTTGTGAGATGGGCCTCTAATTTGGATGCGAATGGGGATCAGATTTTTTTTTTTGTTTGAAAATTGAAGGTATTTGTTTAAAAAAATCATTGCGCATAAGAAAACTAATTTTCTTTAAATAAACCAGTGATTTCTCTAGGTTTTTGTTTTTATTGTTCTTGGATTTCAGGAGGCCTATTTTTGATTTAAAATATAAAAAACGGTTGGATAAAAGGACTGTATTTGGGCATGGGTCTCCGGTATGTAAAATTATAAGTTCAAAGTATTCTCTTAATAAATAAATTCTTCCTGGTGCAGTACAGTGACTGTTTCTTTGTCATCGTGACAGGTTGGATGAGGATGCAGGTAGAAGTTGAAGCCTAACCAAAATCACAAATTGTTAAATGGGCCGACGGATTGACTATCCAAAGACACGTACAACTGGATTTGAAAACTGGCACTAAGCCCCATAAAAACAACCAGTGGTTACGCACGGTTATCCATTTTGCACAAAAAACCAAATACCGAACAAAAGATAAATGGAAAGGAAAAAAATGGATTCACCCGTTAATTTTGGTTTAAATTGAATGCCAAACACACGGGTTGGTGTTGCATTAGGGTTTTTGTGTGTTGTTTCAGAAATCATGCAGTGTGGGATATTAGTATTATGAAATACTGGGCGGGGAGGAGATTTGTGATGGATTAGGGTGCATGAATATGAAATTAACCATGGATCTGTGTCAGACATACATCTAGGCCAATCTTGACAGATCTACCAGAGAAGAAGTCCAAGAAGACCAAACAGCCCAAAATTTAATTAGCAGTCCGTGTGTGCGCGCTATTTTCTTTTGGCCTGCATTGTAAATGATTCTTTCTCATAGTAGCATAGGGCTGACGTGGTCCTTGTGGTAATCAACTCTGCTATCCATTTTTACTATATAATCAATTGTTTTGTACAGGATCTTCATATTGAGTGAACATAGCATTTTTTGCAATTTGTCTTTTTCAACTCGGCATCAGAGCAGGTAATGTTAATGGCAACCTTTCCAATTCTTTCTACCATCAACTCACTTGCTTTTGCTTCTTTCACTGTGCCTCTTTTTGCTATTACTTCCATTCCATCCTTTTCTTCTTCATCCACCTCCATACCAGAAATCAATATTGCCATTCCTTTTGCTGCTATTGTACAGACTAAGACAACACTACTCCTTAACAGCCTTAATCAAGCTAGATTAGTCAAGTTGGATCGATCCAATCGATCCAATTACCTCCTCTGGATTTATTTTGTTCTCTCTGTTCTTAGAGGACACAAATTAGAGTGATTTGTTACAGGAATGAAGAGTCCTCCTTCAGAATTTGTAGTTGATAGTAACAATGTTGTTGTGAATCTTCCCTTTAAAGATTGGCAAGCTACAAACCAACTTATATATGACTGGCTCTTTGGGTCGATGAGAACTGACATTTCAATTCAAGTATCACCCTATCGTACTGTTGCATAAATCTAGAAAGTCATCATCGATCTAGCGTGTTCTAACATTAGAGCTCGTACTACTTTGACGAAGTTTGAATTTTAGAGTACTCGAAAAGGATCTCTTCGAATGGATGAGTGTCTTAGCAAGATGAAGTTACTTGTAAACCATATGGTGTTAGTTGGGCATCCCTTGCTAATACCTGATGTTGTCATGCAAACATTGGCTAGACTCGATGCCAATTATACTCCTATTGTTATGCATCTTGTCGATAAACCTGATTTGTCATAGGTTGATTTACATTCATCTCTTGTGACATATGAGAAGCATCTCGAACATCTTAACAATGTCAGCATTGTAAGTACGCTATAAATTTAAGTTTTCAAGTTGATCAAGCTAGTTCAAGTGTTATACATTCAGGTTCTTGTGGATCTTGGCATTCCTCTAGTCAAGGCCGAGATGGCAATCGTAGTCGAGGACGTTTTAGAAACAACAACAACAACAACAAAGTGAAGTGTCAACTATGTCATTGTCCTGGTCATGTGGTTGATGATTGTTTCTATCGTTTTGATAGAGATTATGTATATAATGAGAGGTCTACTCTATTTTCTTATTATGCTTCTCCTAAAACTTAAGATCTAGCTTGGTATTTAGATAGTAGAGCTTCGAACCATGTCATTTATCTCAATGGTAACCCTATTTCTGGTGCTCAAGCAGTGACAGATAAATTCACAGTTAGTGACGGTGCAAGTTTTCCTATCTCTAGTCATACTTTAGGTTATTCTAAATGTAGTTTGCCGTAGTTATTGCTAAGGGATATTCTTGTGGTCTCAACTATAAAAAAAATTTGCTTAGAGTTTCTGAGTTAGTCTTAGATAATAATATACTAATTTAATTCTTTGGTGTTCATTGTGTTATGAAGGATTTGAGAATGGTCAAGGAACTACTTAAAGGGACACGATGTGATAGTTTATACAAGATAGATGGCGAGCCTCATGTTTATCAACTTTATAATTCAGCTCATTATAACAACCTTTTTGCTCTGTTAGCTGCATTAGAAACATGGCATAAGAGATTAGGTCATTCTTCTTGTAAAATCATTAAGGAAGTATTAAAGCGTTGTAATATCAACCTTGATAGTACTATTGCTCTTGATTTTTGTAATGCATGTCGACTTGGTAAAATGCATAAATTACCTTTTTCATTATCTGAGTCTACCACGAAAGCTCCTCTAGAATTAGTTCACACTGATTTATAGGGTCTTGCAACCCTTTCTTCTAATCTAGTTTTAAATGTTGTATTAGCTTTGTGAATGATTTCAATCATTTTATGTGCTTGTATCTACTCCGTTCTAAGGGGGAAGCTCTGTATGCTTTTCTTTAATTTTAAAAATTAGTAGAGAATCAGTTAGATCAAAAAAAATAAATTTTCCAGAGTGATTGGGGTAGAGAATTTCATAGTTTTACTTCAACCTTAACTGATTGAGGAATTTTATTTTGACATCCTTGTCCACATAATTTTAGTTCCTTTTCATTCTACTTACAATCTTGTAGGTCGTCGATGGGTGTTTAAGAAAAAGTTCAAGTCAGATAACATTGTTAATTGGTATAAAGCACGTCTTGTTGCCAAAGGGTATTTACAACAACTTGGAGTAGACTATGGCAAAATGTATAGTCCAGTGATTAAGCCATCCATTGTTTGTGTGGTTTTTGCTTTAGCAGCTTCCCATAACTGGAGTGTTTGGCAACTAGATATTAATAATGAATTTTTGAATGGTGTGTTGCAACTTGCAAGAGACCATTTAGATGGTTCAACCTGAAAGGTTTGTTCACCCTCATAAACCTCATCATGTCTGCAGATTGAGAAAGGAACTTTATGGTCTAAAGTAGGTGCCTCGAGTATGGTTTGATCATCTTCGATCTATTCTTTTGTCATGGCAATTTTATAATAGTAAGAGTGATACCTCTTTGTTCATTTTTCAGAATTGTGATCAGATTTTGATAATTCTCATTTATGTTGACGATATCTTAGTTACTAGTAATAATCTACAAAGCATGATACAAACCATGACTCAGTTTATATCAAAATGAGTTATTTTCTCTTAAGGATATAAGACCCATTCATTACTTTTTAAGAATTGAGGTAACATGTGATGATTCTTTTTTTTATCTAAATCAAGGCAAGTGTATATTATAGATCTTCTTGGCAAGTGGAACATGAGTGATTCCTCCACCTGCAAGACTCCAATGGTTCCAAGTCACACTCTCACTCAGTTTGATAGTACTCCTTTGCCTTCGGCATCTGACTATTACTGTGTTATTGGTTCTCTACAATATTTAGCAAACACTTGGCTAGATGTGTCTTTTGTAGTTTAGCAAGCTCAATCAATTCTTATCTGCTCCAACTTTGTTACATTGGCATGCATTTAAATGAATTCTTTGCTATCTTAAAGGCACCATTGATATTGGCCTACATACAAAGAAGTCTACCTATCTTGATCTTATGGCATATTCTGATGCAGATTGGGCTAGTTGTCCAAGATCTTCAATCCACAGGTGGATATTTTGTGTTCTTTAGTGATTCATTGATTTCTTGGTCCTCTAAAAAATAGTCAGTTGTTGCTCATTCTAGTGCCAAGTCTGAATATCATTCTCTTGCTCACATGGCATCAAAGCTTCTTTGGCTTCACTCGTTGCTTAGTGAACTTGGATTAGTCTCACAGCCAACTTTTGTCATTTGGTGTGATAATATTAGTGCTTCTGCTTTAGCCTCAAATCCAGTCTTTCATGTGCATATCAAACATATTGAGATCAACACACATTTTGTTCATGATTTATTGCCTGCTAAGTCTCGTGCTGTTTGTTTTATTCCTTTTGAGGATCAGTTAGCAAACTTGTTAACCAAGCCCCTTCCTTAGTCTCAATTTCTTTTTCTCAGGGACGAACTCGATCTCACATTGATCACCTCTCATTTGAGAGGGAATGTTAGAAATACATCTTGGCCCATCTTGACAGATCCACTAGAGAAGAAGTGCAAGAAGACTAAATAGCCCAAAGTTTAATTAGTAGTCCATATGTGTGTGTATTATTTCCTTTTTGTTTGCATTGTAGATGATTTTTTCTCATAATAGCATAGGGCTGATGTGGCCTTTGTTGTGTAACTCTGTTGTACGTTTTCACTATATAAACAATTGTTTTGTACAGGCTCGTGAGCATAGCATTTTTTGTAATCTATCTTTTTCAACTATCTGGAGATGAAATGCGGGGTGAAAGTGATGGCTAAGCATGCATGGGGGAATCATGATGACAGCTTTCTAAGATCATGTGAAAGCACGCGACAGTGAAGCCTGGAAATGGAAGGGAGAGAAGAAAGAGCGGCATTTATGGGCATCACCGCCTTGCGAGCCTCCCCCTTAATACCTTCACCACGCGTGATCTCTCTGACCTTTCACGTCAAGGACAAGACTATGCATTGGTGTCCCTCACTTGTTTTGCTGGCCTTTTATTTAATTCCTTCCTCCCTTCTCATTTTAAATTCCGATTATTTCAATTTAATTAGCCACTAATTAGGATGACCGTCCTCGTTCTCGTTCATTTCTACTTACCGCACTCCATCGATATGTCGTCTTTTTTTCAGAATTACTCACATTCAATGGCGATCATTAAATTCATGTACTCTAATTGCCACTGTTATTGACCTATCTTTACCGCAATCTAGAGGAAGGACATTTGGGGTCAACAAATTTAAGTAATTCAGAGAATTCCCAAAAACACCTTCTGTTAGGGGATCAAGCATGTATTATGGAAACACCATTATAGAAAGGACTTCAAACTTGCCACTCTTTATTATTGTTTGGAATTTCAAAACCTGAAAGTTTACAAACGTTGCTTACTACTCTTGCTGCAAGCCCTATACAATTATACATTACCATCTCCAAAATCTAGAATACAAAGTGTTTATTAAAATGCTTTACTAGTTCAAAATACAAGTCATGTCATTAGATGCTTTCTTTCTAAAACGCCTGATTAATTTAACATTCAATAAAACGTGGTTGAGAATTTCCAACTCCCAAGAAGAATAGTCAATTGTCAATCAAGAGTGAATGCCAATAAATCATGATTTTGTTGCTTCCTCTAAATGATAAACGGGCAAGTCAAGCCAAACCCGAAAGCCTGATTGTTATAAAATCAGTCACTTCTTTGAGCACATCCTTTATTGTCTTCTTTGAGCACAACTTTTATTGATCAGGTTTAGGATTGGGCACTAAGTCCTTTTTTATTTTTAAAATTTTTCTAATTTTTAAAAAATTAATTTTTTATATTATAATATTATAGATCCTTTTTTAAAATATAAATTATAATATTCAAAAATGAAAAAACAAGTACTATAAATTTTAATTTTGAACTATAAACATATATTTTAAAATCTAAATTTAATTTTAAAATATTTTATTTTTTAGGAGCAAAATAAAAAGAGCCTAAACTAGCTACTCGAGTTTGAGTCCATTTTTATGAGACTGAGCTTAAAAGCTTGATTATGCTAAAAATTTTTAATTTCTTAAACTCAAACTCTTATAAAAACGGGCTTCAACCAATGGCCATTGAACCCAACACTTATTCATGATTTTATTTTCATTAAAAAAAATATCATTTTTTAAGTAAAATGCTACAAAATGTTGTCTTTCAATGTATAATTAATAATATATATTTTCTGAAAATATTCAATATGATTAATAAAAATTTTTAATTAAAATATTTTATTAAATATGAGTAAGGATGTAACTTTAAAATGAATTAATTAATTGATTGAGAGTGTGATTTAATTTAAAATATTTTATAATAATATTGAAGGAAGGGAGTACAATTTAATCATTTAACTCATCTCTAACCAATTTTTGTGGTATGTGTGAATGTGAACACTTGTCTTATATTTTATCTAAAACATGAGATTGTGGCAGTCTAGTAGATAGTACCCCCTCTACTTAAAAGTTGCATGCAGTGAAGGGCAGCCCAGCAATTAATCTCTTGCATCACTGTACGATTATATGATTCGTACAAGCACCCGCCTCTAAATTGAGTAGATGGAACTACTCTTTGTTAGATTCTCCTATACTAAATTGGAGTAAGTCGGGGCACAGTCACACATGCATGATGATAGCGTAGAGAGCCAACAAGGTTTTATGACCAAAGCATGACGAGTCTACGTACCCGTGTCATCGTGCACTGTGCTGTAGTAATTTCAAAGAATTAATCACTGAACAGATAGTAGCAAACTTTATCGTATGATGAAATGCAGCTTATAAATTAATTCCGAAGAACTTCAAGTGACGAGCCATTAATAATATTTCTGGCCTTCGGCAACCAGCCGATTGAAATGACCATTGACCCAGAGATATCATATTTATTTGAAATTGAAATGTAATGCTCCAATTAATGGAAATTATTCTCTCGGCTAACACATTTAATTTTCAAAGCATCAAGCCAGGTTGATTCTTCAATGAATATCTAGAGGGACATTAATATTAATATTATTATGGGTGGCAGGAGAAAGGGTTGGATAATGGGAATAAGCATGTCTGATAAACAGCGGGAGCGACATGCCTGCTGACTAGTAATTGGACGGAATTGATGCCCGCCAGCCACCCAAAATGAAAATACAGCCAAAGGCTACACTTGAAGCAATGCAATCGCAAAACCGTCCAATTATACACAGCGAAAAGCCAAATCCACGGCTTCACCATTCATCGGACTGAATCTCCCACTCTGCCTACTGCACAACCACCAACAGACCCGGGAGTAATGGAGGGCCACAACACTTCCATCCAATTATCTCCATCCAGAATTAATGTATGAATATGTACCCCTCGTTTATTTATGAGCTTCGAGTATAGACTGCTTTAAGAATATAGTAGTATAGACTGCTCCTAACTAATCATCATCATTACAACCCCACAAACACGCTGCATCGATCGTCAACATACATTAAAGGAGGATCTATCTAACGGCCAGCCAACCATCACGTCGAGAAAGTGAAATCCCACCTACACGCCTCCACTTCATTCAATGCACCCCCTCCTGGTAATTTTAAGCGATACAAATACGACGCCATTGAATTGACCCACTCTCAGCATTCTGGTAACAGAGGGCATGAAAGGAGTTTCGGGATGGAGAGACTACTGGAGCAGAAGAAGGTACCGGCGACTGAATGAGAGGCGGAGCAGGAGGAAGATGGAACTGGGTGGGAGGCGATTCTGGCGGATGAAGATCAGGGTGGGGCCCAAGATCCGGATCGGCGGAATCTCCGGGAGGGCTAAGAAGATGGTGCTGTGGCTGAGAGACGCGTACGTGAGGATGATGATGGGACTAGCAACTTCGGGAGTGAGGGGAATGAGCGGAGCCGACGCCGTCGTGGGCTTCGGCCGCCCCTCCGTCAAGGAGTATGACCGCAACATGATCCTTCACATCTACAACTCCCTCTTCCTCCCCCCGGTACACCGCCCCACCCCACAGCTCCCTCCGCCCCGCCCTTCCACCTGAATCATGCTCCCACCGAGCGCCACACATTGTTTCATTTTCTGTAATAGTACAAACAAGAAATCAACATATCATTTTACTGTGTTTCAAGTCAGCCATTTTCTTATTTCTGGCTCCATCAAAACTAGTTCGTATTCCTTTTTCATTCGCGAGCTGTTTTGTTTTTTTAACTTGCTGCTGTGCAAAATGTAAACATTTTTTTCACTGATTTTAATTCAAAATATAATCAACATACCATATGTAATAAAAAAAATCATTTTACCCCCTTCTATTTATTAATTTAAATATTTATATAAATGTATCTTTCATCTACACATTGATAATGGGATTAGGAATAAAAAAATAATATAAATTTTTTAAAAAATAAAAAATTTATTAATATGAATTTTTTTTTAAAAATTACTTATATTTTTAATAGAAATAATTACTATCCTCCTTGCTCGGCATCTTCTAAATGGCCTGGATTTTCGGCCACTGTCATTTTGTTCAGGTTTTATTGACTTTCTGCTTTACTTCATTTTATTGCATTTGTTGGTTGATTTTTGTGTTCTTTTTTTTTTTTTCTCAAAAAATAAACTCCTCGATTCCTATGTTATTGTTTTCATGTGTCTCTTTAAAATTGTCCTCCAAAAAAAATATGTCATTTTGGATCACAGTGAAATTCAAGTTTGGCCAATTCTTTATGTCTATTTTTATATATTTATATGGAATTAGGAAAAAATAGAGAATTAATTGTTACTATGTGAACTTTACTTAGTTTCATTGAATTTTATTTTTGAATAAATGAAGTTATAAATTATGAACTTTAACTGGTAAATCAATGAACCTGTATTTGTGAATATTAGAACTTTAAGTTGCAAACTTATAAACTTGTCTAACTTAAGCTTGTCAACTTTAAATAAGAATTTCACTGTCAATGAACAATCACTTGTTAATATATGAACTTAAAATTAAGCAATTATGAACATGTAGTTGTACAAATCAGAACTTTTACTTACTATTACTTAATCTTATTTCTAAATAAATAAAGTTAGAAATTTCAAACTTTAACTTGTGAATCAATGATCCTCGTACTTGTGAATATTAAAACTTTATGTTGTAAATTTGTAAACTTGTCCAACATGGGCTTGTTAACTCTGGATAATAATTTAACCACCAATTGACAATAAGTTGTTAATATATGAACCTAAAGTTGCACAATTATAAATATGTAGTTGAACAAATCAACACTTTTACTTGCTGTCACTAAACCTTATTTTTGAATAAATAGTTAAAAATTGTGGACTTTAACTTGTAAATGTATGAATCTGTAATTATAAATATTAGAACATTAAGTTGTAAATTTGTGAAATTTTACATTGCTAATTTGTGCAGGTACATCAAGTGTGGTATTTTGTATTAGATAGTAGAACATCCTAATAACATCAAAGTGCAAAGTGCCCTTACACTCATAGCAGGAACCAACGAAAAACCAAAATGATAGGATGAAGCATTAGAATTTAATAAGCATTATTCTAAGATTGTATCTATGCCATCTTAAGTTAGTTAGTTTTTTTTTTTGTATATGGAATTGATTTTTTTTTAAATGAATGTATTGTAGATATTGTGGTATATGTTTGGATAACACTTGCTATGATGTAAATTCATTTATTTGCAATAAAAAGAACAAGTTTCCTAAGTTTATGCACAATAAAAAGTCCATATATTACATGACATTGTCCATATATTAACAACATAATATCAATTTATTTCACATGGTTTGTGTGATTAAGATAAACATTTGTATGAGTTTTACAGGCTTATTTACAACCAAAAGTCCATATAGAACATGACAAGATCCATTCATTAACAATACAATGTTCATTTATTTCACATGGTCTGTGTGTTAAGTTAAATATTTGTACAAGTTTTTTAAGTTTATTCAACAAAAAGTTTATATTTAACATGAAAAATTTATTTATTAATAACACAATATCCATCTATATGGCATACCTGAACACAACATGCTTTCATTGAAATTGTAAGAACATTTACATCATATCTAGATAATTTCATGTTGGTATTAGCCCTTCTACTAAAACAAGTATTAATATAAAATTTTACATCACTTATCATGTCTAATATATACAAAAAGTAAGTAACTATATTCAAATCGATCTCCTAATATTATGAAGATTGAGAACTTTCATATGTAAATGCCCATAAATTGTCTATATTGCATTATTAAATTATTGCCACATAATCTGCGCTCTATATTACACAATTGAATATTTAATATAAACAAGTCAATGTTTGCTTTTCCGCATCACATAATCTAGTTTATAGATACAACATTTTTATCATATTGGATAAGTCTTGAATTCCTCAATTCACATGTAAAAATTCAATATAAACAAGTAAACAATCATGATTTTACAATAAATATTTCAATCCAAATCTCCCAAAACAAAGTGTCTGATTTTAACACCATTACATTGCACTTTATATAACAGATGATCTATCTGATATGCACTTTACTACCTCATGTAAAATTTTCATGTAAAATTCTGGTGAAATTTACAATAGAACATCTATAAATAACATTAAAATGTTCATATATCAACAATATAAGGTCCATACTTTATACATTGTCTTTGTGATTTAGTAGAACTAGAATGTACAAGTTACTTTGGTAGAATTTACAGCGGAACATTCGCAAATAACATGACAAGATCCACATATTAACAACAAAATGTTCATTTATATAGTACATTTGAACATCTGCACAAGTTAATTGCACACATTCGTACAACATAAACTCTATAAATAATAATATGAACTCTCTAAATAACATCCTAACAAGAACATGTATATATGTTGGAGAAAAATCTAAATTAGAAATGGAGGTGTAGCATCCTGAAAGTCTAATCTCCTGTTAATCAGATTAATTAAGGATGATTGAGTGAGAATTAGTAATGTGTGTTGACAGAGATAACTAATGAGTGTTTTGAGTTGTGTTTTTAGCCCTAAATACAAGTTCGGAGTGAGGTCTGGTTGCTTGAACCTCAAACTGGGAGAAAATAAGGGAAAGTGACACTATACCACATGTTGCAATGCATCAATGGGATGCCATAACTCACGAGTCACAAAAACATGAAGAAACCCTCTCTGTGTCACATGTCGTGGTGCGTGGGAATATGCATCATGACACAAGGACAAAATTTAATGATAATAAGTTATGAAATTAGACTGAAAACAAAGGGATATGGAGAGAAAGTGATGGAGAACACCCTAGGGCTCTATTAGGGCTTGGTTTTATGAAGACTTGAAAACATTTTGGAGCTTGCAATCATTTAGGGTAAGTTTCCTAAGCCTTGCTCTCCATTTCTTTTCCATTTTTACATATTTTTGAGTTAAGGTTTATGTTGAGAAAATAATTTTTAATCCTTAGAGGATATAGGTTCGAATACATTGACTTAAATGAAGTTAATAAGAGTCATTTGACTTGTCTAAACTTAGTATTAATGTATTTGAGCATCATTGAGCTTGAATTTCTCATTATGGACAAAAATGCCAATTATTTTGGTTGAGAGGGAGGTTGGACTCCATTAATGGTATTTAGTTGATTTATTGATTATAGTTGGAGCTAAAAGGGAGTTGTTCAAGGTTCCATTCTTAGTTTTGAAATTTTTATAAAGTTGGGTAATTGGGTCTTGAATTTTAAGGTGAACTCTAAATATTAGACTAATGATTTTAGGTTGTTAAATATTGTAATCAATATTTCTTATGCCTATATGAGTAAATTATAGTTAATGAAAGTTAATGTACCTATTGTTGGGAGAAAACTCAAAAGGTTGATATTATGTAATAGTTAAGTATTGAGATAGGAAGTAAGAGATTGTAAATAGTGACATTGATAATTATGGACTTGATTAATTATAGATTAATCATCCTTCGTACCAAATCGGGCTTAAGGTCAAGTTTTAGAAGCAATTGTTAAGGAATAAATCTTTAACCACTCAAATATTTAAGGTAACCAAGTGAAATCTACCTTGTGTAATTATGGGTTAATTGATTTAAATTCCTATGTAACATGTTTTATATAATAGAATTGAGGCTATGATGATTTTATAAATTAGGATATGATGAAAAATGAAACAAAATCACATGTTTTGCTATGTCAATAATTATTATGATACAAGTATAAGAAAATGTGTGGTGGTAATGTGAGTATGAAGGAACGTTCATATGTGAAAATATGTGTTAATTATGCTGATAAATGGTGTAGATTTGTATACCATGTTTACATGTTATATCTTGATGTTTATCAATAAATAAGTTTGCTATTATGATTGTAAGCATATGAATAAGTGAGCATGAGTGATTGTAGAATCGTATTAGCAAGAGTTCATCTAGAGAAAGGAGTAGAGATAAAATCCATATGGTATTTGGTTGCTTATCATTGGAATAGAAAGTTGGCATCGCTGCCTACTGTTGAAATCAGGAAGTAGCCACTATCCCACTGTTTGTTGAGGGACTATCTCATTAGTTATCGAGGAAATCGAATCTAGCTATCTCCACTTGTTTGTCAAGGAGACTAGCTTAGGGATCACGACACCTCAAAAATTTGAGAGTGGGAGAAGCCATAGTCTAAGAGTAAGGGTAGTGACCTTGGCCAGGTTACTTCTCATAATTGGTGAGTTTATGTAGCATAATTGCTGAGCTTGGGTAGTCTATTCATACGGACGGAGCCCTATTTGATTAATAGCTTATGGTTTCAGTTAGAAGAAATAAAGAGGATATAAGGTTAGTTTGATCATACATATTATCCAACATGTCACATGGTTGTTAAGTTTGTGACAAGTCATGATATTTTAGTTAGCTATTATCACATGGTTGTTTTTATTGTGGCAATGTGCATTGTATATTTGATTGGGCCATTGTTATATAGTTGTTAGTATCGTGGTAATGTGCCTTGTGACTTAATTTGTGGAAAGATAAGATTATGATTATTTGTATGAAATGTCATGAGGTATTTGTGAAAATTATAACATATGTGATTGTATGCCTCATATTTGGTTTGTTCTAAAAAATGTCAATTAATATGTAAT